TGGGGGAGGGGGGGTATAGGCGGCAATAGTCGAGAATGTTTTTTAGAGAAATCGCTGTTGGCGTCGTACAGAGTTTGAGAGGTAGTTCGGGGTGGGTTTGCTGGGGGCCAATACCCACCCTTAGCCCGGCTCCTGACCTGAAGCCCTCCTCCTGTCTTCCCCCCCCTTCATCACCCCTCTCCTCCCCTCCCCCTCCAACACCAACTGCCCTTTCCCCCCCACCTGCATCACCACCGAGCGGCGGTCGCCCATAGAGACGGTGGGGCTCATCTGCATGTAGACAACAACAACAAACAACAAAAAAAGAAGCTATCTTGGTAGCAGTAGCAGTAGCAGTAGCAGTAGCAGTGGCAGTAGCACCCGAGCCACCAGCAATTGCCAGTAATGCCGAATGAAAACGTTTCAGAACGCAGAACACACACACACGTACAGACACACACAGAGAGAGACACACACGCACGCGGATCAGCGGAGACAAGTGAAAATATTCCCCTCCTCCTCCTCCTCCCCCTTGTCCCTGCCCTTATCAATGCCTAAAACCTAAAAAAAAAACCCTCCCCCCTGCCCCCTCCCCCCTCCCCCCTCCCCGGCGGTGTGTGGGGGTTAAAACCCGGTGGGTACCTCCAGTCGGTGTTTCACACTGTCCAACAGCTCCTGGCCACGTTCGTTCCGTACGACAAGGTACTGCGGATGCCGTATCATGTCGAGATCTAGGTACGGCACGCCCATGTAGCCCACCTTTAGGATGGATCCGCATAGCGGCGGGTGGTGCGGGGTGCAGGTGTATGAGGGTGAGTGAGCCGGCAGGGGGGCCCCCCCGGAGGGGAAAAGGGCAGCGGCGGCTTGGAAGAGCAATGTGCCCTTCAACAGATTCGTCGTCAGGAACGCATGCCAACGACCCGAAGTGAATCCAACGAACAATCCGACATCATCACTACCGAAAACAGCCAACTTCAACCTGAAAGAAACAAATAAACGCAAAGATATTTTCTCCCTAAAGATATTTTCCCCTTCCAGCTCTCCCCCCCCCCTTATTTGCCCCTCTCAACCAACTCACCACCATATCCGCCAAACCGTTGGTGTAGTCGAAACAAGAGTAGCAAGACGGCGCGATGACGTCATTCAACTCCTTGGCGGGAAGGCAGAAGTACGGCACGTACTCAAAGGAGCCGTCTGTGTGTTTCACGTGCACCCTGTGCCCGTGTGACGGTGGCGGCGGTGGTGCGGGTGCGGGTGGCGGCGGCGGTGGTGGCGGCGGTGATGCAGATGAAGAAAGGGTGTTGGGGTGGGATCACCGTTGAAGGCAGGGGGGCCGACGAGGGAAAGAGGAGATGAAAGGGAGATGCGGTGGGGGGCCCTGGGTTGTGTTTTTCCTCGTGTCGGGGCGGTTGTGGTGGTGTGTGGGGAGAGGCGGGGGAGACGAAGAGCGGAGCGGAAACAGCGGCGTCAGGGGGGGCCGCTGGAGAGGGCCTTTTTGCACAGAGAGACACACAGACAGATTTCCAGGCGCACGTTTCCCCCAATCCCCACTTCTCCCCGGCCCCCCATACACACCCTCCCCACCCGCCCACCTGTAATCCTGCATGAACTCGTAGTGGAGGGCCTCCTGCGGCCGAGTGGAGGCGGCTCTCAGGAACTTGTCCAGCCCGGCGCGGGGGCCGTTATCCACGCAGTTCGTACCCAGGACGTACAACTTGTCCAAACCCAAATACGGCTCGATGGAGCGAAGGGCCTGAACCTGAGCGGGGTTTGCCGGGGGGCGGGGGACGAGGGGGTGGGTGGGGGGAGGAGGGGGGCACCCAGTGAGACGGATAGGAGAGCCGGAGAGGTGTTTTGACGTGACCCGTGACTGGTTGGTGCTAGTTGGTTGGTGCTAGTTGGTTGGAAGTGGCTCAAGTTTGGTTAGTGGGCGGTGACGGCTGGCAGTGGGCAGTTTGGGTTGAGGACATGTAGGGGGGAAAGAAGTTGAGGCTAAGAACTTCCGACGAAACATTAAATATTTGGATAGAACATCTGGTAAAACCACACGACTAGCAACCAATGCAAAATCCCAGTTTGGCGACAGCGATAATGGCGGTGATGACGGTGGTGATGATGATGATAATATAGCATTTGTCAACGAGACGCAGCGTGTCGTACGTCAGTATGTCTTACAGTACGACACTTTATACTTGTAGCGATACCTTCCCGTACCTGGCACCCCACCCCTATGAACAGCAGCTTCTTGACTTGTAACGCCTCCACGGTGGCGAGGACGTTGAGGTTCGGGGAAAGAGTGGGTTTGACTCCGCGGGCCTTGTGGGGTGGGGAGAGAGGAGGCGGCAAGGGGGACCTCAAGGAGACAGCTGCCGGCATCTAGAGGGCGCGGGGAAAAGTGTAACCGTCCACACACCCTCCCCCACAACCCCCGCCCCACTTTAATGATGTCCTCCACGGTTCGCGCCACCACTGGTTTCGGAGTGAACCTGGATACGCGGCCCCGGGGGGGAGGGGGGAACAGGAGCAGGGGAGCAGGGGTCTGGTCATGTAGTCCCACGACAACCCATACACCCCCCAATTACCGGCTCGTAAACCCCCTCCCACCAGTACGATCAGTACGACTAGTACGACCTCAAATGCCAGGTACATACCACCAAACCCGATCAGCCAAACCCCGCACCCCCCCCTCCCCACCCCAACTCCGCACCCAGGGGCTCGTCCCCACCACCGCCTCCACCCACCTCAGCAGCGCCACCACATGACACCCGTCCACTTCACCCCTGCCGTGTTGCCACTCGGGAACAACTTTGTGTAAAACCATGAAAACCCGCCCAGCCCCGCCCCCGCGTCTTTCCTCTTTTCCCCCTCTTTCCCCCCCCCTTGGGAGTCCGCCACGTGCAATCTACCCGCCCTCCCTCCCCCCCACCTGCTCCCACCTATATAAATATACCCGTTCGTGGCTCGTCTCACCACCCACCCACCCACTCCCCCATGGGGCTCACCGGTCATTCTCATCACTTTGCACACAAACCACCGCCTCCACCTTGCCACTTCGCAGCATCTCAATGGCAATCTGACAGAGCATCCATAGTACGACAAGGTACGGCATAACAAGGTACGACAGAGGGAAGCGGGAAATCATCAGACCGACATGCCGACGTCCGGGCGGGGTGCTTAAGCTGCACTCTAATGTTAAGTGTTGGCGGGGGGGGGGGGGAAAAGAGTGGGAAAGACGAACCACGAACGAGTGAATGAAGCTGCTGCCAAGGAAAGAGTGTACAAGAAGCAGAACTGACCAATAGGCATTCTTGAAGACGGCAACCTCGGGAGAGGGAGAGGGGGAGATGGCACTGGAGATGAACCCTCAACCCCAACCTCCTCATCCTCCTCGGCTGATCAGTTCGGCAGCCTACGTTTCCATTTCCGCAAGAACAGGACATCCCACAACCCAGTCCACCCCACATATACATACATACATACATACATACATACATACATACATACATACATACATACATACACGCACCTGCGTCACAATCCCCGTCCACTGGGCTCCCTCCACTGGGGGGGTGTTAACGGCGTACGACATGGACCTCGTAACGCCAAAGTGCAGCTCGTCATCATCGTTGGCGTTACGTCGGCGGCCATGCACTCGCTCCTCAAGCCGCTCAACGCGGGACATGCCTGCAGCGAACATACATACATACATACACGTATGCACATATACGTCTCTGCCTTCGGCTCTCCAGCTCCTGGGCGGCCGGAGTCCCCCCCCACATACACATACACATACACATACACCGGGCCCCAAATACACACACGACACGACACGACACGGCCCCCACCACCCACCACCCACCACATCACATGTTTTACCAAACCTCCCCCTACGGTTACAACCCAACACTCGCCGCCAGGACCGTACAGTACCGTACCGTACCGTCTCGTACCATCCCATCCCATCCAGTCCCGCACCGACCCATCATCCCCATCCCAGCCCACAGCCAATGGCACGGCACGGCACCATTGCCCACCCACCATCGCCCAGGAACGCGCATGCGTCCTTCACGTGCGCCACATAGTAGGTATCGCACAGACCGCAGCTACTGCAGTACTGCTTGGCCGGATAGCTGCTGCCGGGGGAAATGGGTTTGGATCGCTGGCGCCAGTCGGCAGGGAGGGGGGAGGAGCTCCCGAGCTCGCGTGTGGGGGTAGCGGCGTCGATGCCGTCGCTGGGCACACCCCCCGCTGCTGCTGCAGCCGCAGCTAGGTCCCTCCGCGCTCCCGGTGGGCTGTGAGGGGCCCTGCAGCTGGGGGGCCCCCTTGGGGTGGGGTGGGGGGTGATGGGTTTGGGGTTTTTTTGAGGTGGGGGGAGTTGGAGTTGGGGGTGGAGGTTGAGATTGGGTGGAGGAGGAGCTGTAGGACTCGATTCGTCCGGGGAAAGCAAAAGCGGCCTCGAGAATCTCCCGGGCCCCCCATTGTGGTTACTGCTCGGCCCACAGCTCCCGAAGTCCAGATGTTCAAGTTGCTGTTGTTGCTCTTACTTCCATCCTATTTTGAAAAGGATTCCAGGACCCTTTCCATTTTCTGATTGCTATTTGAAGGCCGTGCGTGGCGGGAATGGCGAGAGCGGCTGATCAACAGGCCAGGGTAAATGTCATTTACTTGGCGCACAAGGCGCAAGCAACATCCAGTTCCAAGCGTTCGTCTCTATGCCAGTTAAATGGTGTTGGGCAAAGCTGCAATCCTAGAGTTGGCTTCAGCAGGTGCCTGAGGACGCACCTCGGAAGGACGCGAGATGGCGTTGCTGTCGCGCGGCCAGTGCAAGCCGTCGCCCTCCGGTGCATATTCCCGCACGAGAGCAGTTATTGAGGCTCGAAGATTCAAAAGAAATAAACAGGACGATTTGCTGCACGCAAAGCAAATACAATGCAACTATGCTGCACGAACAACGGTACTAGGAGCTAACTGCAATAATAACAAACGATAATCATGACGCAACTAATGTTGTCATACCTCACTGTATCCAGGCGACACGTGAATTGCGCGCAAAGTGCGAGCTGTTGGCGTTACGGCAATGCTTTGGGCTACTACTGCGGCTACTGCCATATACGTGCATGAGGATCATACAATGCAAATATATACGTTGAGTTCCACACTAAATTATTGTTGTCGAGCTCGCCGTGTTCAGGCTCCGATCCCTTCCTTCTTAGAGGCTACGCGTCATGCAGCTTCAGAGGTCTCCGTGCAGCAGGGCCGTCGCCCAGCGCAAGTGCGCATTAAAGCCCGCGATGCGCATTGCTGCACCGGCGCTGCAGGTGGCGTGCCAGGCTGGGCGTTGGCAGGCGGGCGAGAACGATGAGAAGCTCCAACCCAAGTGCGTGCGGCTTCTGTCTATCATGCCAGATGAAATTGCCATCATTTTCTTAGCTGTGCTTAACCCTGTGTAATCTGATCTGCATCTCTAGTTGTTGCTGTCATGGCTGGTTGTCTCGGCCGGTCCTGTTGTTGTATGCAGATCTTGAGTGATAGGTGCTCACCTGATGGCCGCAATTACAACTTTAATATTAGCTACTTATACAAATCAGAAGGCCTGGTTGTTTCGGCGCTGCCCACAGGGAAGTCATCCTCCGGTCCGTGAACATGGCCGTCGTGGCCGCGCTCCTGACAATCGGAGCTGCTCCGCGTCCTAGCAATCTTGGCATTCAGGATTACGGCGCCGGTATCCAGACGCTGTCTCTCTGCCCGTCTACCCCCAACTGCATCGCGACATCGGAGGAGGGCAATGACCGCGAGCACTACGCGCCCCCGCTGTAAGCCCCAACTAACACCTTCCACATATGCGCTGCATGGTCCACGTGTTGGGGATCAAATCCCGTATCATCTAATTTACAAACCCTTGCCCACCGAACTCACTCCCTCACGCTCTCTTCCTACGCTTCTCCCCAACTCAACCCGTCCGGTCCCTCCTCCCTCGCCGCCCTTCTTCAGCACGTACAACCCGCAGGATGGTCGTGGCCGCAAGAACCCCGCTACTCAGGAACAGGCCATGGCCGAGTTGGTGTCTGTGGTGAGCTGGGGTTGGAGGGGGAGGCTCGTCAGGACGGACAGACAGACAGACCCACATGCACAGCCGCAGAGGACAGGCCCGAGGAGGAGAGGAGAGGGAAGGGGCGGGATGGGCGGTGGCGGAGTGCCGATATGTGCGAGTTGGGAGGGGAACAGAGCTGGTGAAGCGTTGCTTCTAGATACGGATGACTTTCTAGCGATTGTTGAGAGATCTTGTTGTCGTGAAGGGTGATGTGATTATGGCACGGATAAGGTGTGCCCCGCATCGAGTCCGTGCGGCCCTCGTTGTTGTCGTACATGATATGGAGGTGATGGGCGCGGTGGTGGTGTTGGTGGGCTGGGAGAGGGGGGAAGGGGGGCATGGACTAGCATCCAACGCGATATGATGTGAAGAAAATAGGCAGCCTGCAGTTCCTGATGAGGGGCCTGCGGAAAGGGTGCCTGCCTGGTGCTTCAGACTTGAGGGCGCGGCATTCGGTTTGGAGAGCTCGGATATATCGGTGACTCCGGTCTTGTTCTTGATGTTGTTGTTCGGGGCTGTGATCCTCCTGTCATCGCCCCACAGGCTGCCACTCATCACTCACCCCCCCCTCCGCACACACACAATTACTATGCCTCCTTTCCCCCCCATCTCCTTCCCCCTTCTCTCCCCCCTTTCTCTCCCCCAGGTCAAGACCCTTCAGCCGGACGGATTCACCCCCAAGATCATCAAGCAGACCCCGAACTACTTGTACGTGGAGTACGAGAGCCCCATTATGGGGGTAAGTGCGGGGGCGGAGTGTGGGGCCTTGGAGGAATGGAGGATTTAGGAGGGAAGGACCGGGGGACAGGAAATAATGACATTACCATCACCATCGTCACTATCACCACCATGTGGCTTAGGGCCTCTGTCGATTGTACGTGCTGAACCCACGCCACACATCACAATAACACTGCCATCGCTATTGCCCCCTCCCACCCTTATGCACACACACAAACACATACACACGCGCGCGCGCGTACATCAACAGTTCATCGACGATGTGGAGTTCTGGTTCAAGCCAGGTCCCGGCGCCCGAGTGGAGTACCGCTCCGCGTCACGCGTTGGGGAGTCTGACGGCAACATCAACCGCAAGCGCATCCGGGCCATCCGCCAGGAGCTCGAGAAGGAGGGTTGGCGCAGCACCGGCTTCTAAGACTTTCAGGGCGGGTCTCCCCGCCTCATCTCGGCCCCCAACCCCCTCACCCACCCTCCTCTGAAACAGAAGCAACCACCACCTTTCTCCTCTTGCCGTAATCGTAACTGCTCGCCCTCGCTCAGTACAGCATCAACAGCAACATCAATAAGCACATCATGGCTAACAACTGGTTGATTTAAGCAACTATGTAACCACACATACATATACACACATATTATATGTCTACATACATACATACGTACATCCGCTAGATTTGGTTGGATGCTGGTGGTGAGTTGCTGAACTCAACGAATACATTCCGAAGTCGGATGGGGTGAATGGATTAGGGTGCCCCTCTCGCAGGGGAGAGCAGGGAACTGCCTCGGGAAAGGGGGCCGCTGGTGAAGCTATACCAACCTGTAACAACATCATACGTACATGGAGATACAGTGTACGTTGCACTTCCGTGTTACGTTTCCGCTTGCGCGCATTGTTTTCCATAGCTCCAGAACCAGAACCAACAGCAGCGTCTGAAGGACACCAAACGGTCCTACGTGGATTACCCTGTGCGCACTTCCAACTCTCCGCCGCCGAACACATAGCACTGCCACCGGACGGCCCGAGAAGAGGGGGGGAATCCCTGCTCTCCTCCTCCCCGAAAGAGGACAGGGAAGGCGTGCAGGTTGGAAGAATGAACCTTGTCATCATGCCAATAACCAACAGCACAAGCAGTACGGCAAAAGGAGAGTCTGTCAGCCGCTGTTGGGGGGTTTGGAGGGAGCGGAGTTTTGGAAAGCACGGAGGCTCAGAGCCGCGGGGGCCGTAACCTGGATGCCAGGACTAGGGCAGATGCGCTTCAGAACAACATTGGTGCTCGTTGGTGCCATGCCATTGGCCATCTGGCGTCGTCGGCAACGGAGTTTTGCCCGGCTGCTTGTCTTGCCTTGTGTTGTTGCCTCATACTCGATATGGATGATGAACGGGTTGTGATGGTGGTGACAGTGTTATCTTTTCCTCCATCCGCAGGACACCTCTGGGCCTCTCCTCCTCCGGCAGGTTGGGGTCCCTTAGGGGGGCTAGTGAGGGCCATTACGAATTTCTGTGGCGGTGTTGCTTAAGAGGGGATGGTGCCGTACACGGCTCCCCTGGTTCACCTCCTGAAAAACCCTGAGCCCTTTTACCCTCTACATTGGTGAAACCGGCCGTGTCCAACTGCTCAGCCGGCTTGGCTGGCTGGCTGGCTGGGTTGAGGAAGGGAAGGAGTTAGGAAGAACGGGGTACACCTACGTTTGCCCTTTGCTGGCTGCTGCTGCGGGTGGTGCTGGTGTGGTGTGGTGCGGTGAGGGGTGCGGTGAGCGCGGTACTTGTGACTGTGGTTGGCGGTTGTGGGGAAGGGATTTAGGAGTTGGTGTAGAGGGATGAGGCCAGGGAGGCGCCCATTTGCCCGGGGGCATTGGGATACATCTTATCTGTCCTCGTCTGCTGTAAGTATGTAAACCCGAAGTACTGTACGGGACCACGTGGTCTTTGACCATCTTTTTTTGAGGGATTTGACTGAAGTACATGGATTCAAACGGACTGGGACACCCCGCCTCGTCCTGGAGACAGGCTCATTGCGCGCAAAAGGATTCCTCCCTCGGAGCGTCTCCCACCGCCACCCCGGAACAAAAACAGATCTCCAGAAATCAGAACGAAGAGCACGGAGATGGCTATGCGCTATAGATATTTCAGGTAGTCCTGGACTGCGGGAGACGAAGGTCGGCTGCTTGGCTAGTCGGCAATGCTGCACCCGCCGTACATCGTCTGTACAGTACACCCTGTTTGTATGCAGTGGAAACATTACTACAGCGTTCCAACAATAGTAGTAGTAGTAGTAGTTGTAGTAGTAGCTGTTGTAGTAGTAGTAGTAGTAGTAGCAGTAGTAGTAGTAGTAGTAGTAGTAGTAGTAGTAGTAGTAGTAGTAGTAGTAGTAGTAGTAGTAGTAGTAGTAGTAGTAGTAGTAGTAGTACGGAATTACCATATCGTTTTACAACAGTGGAGGAGATATGTTGCCGTACATACGGACCAAGGGCGCGTCCTGGGTCTCTCTTAGCAATCCGCCCTGCCAAAAGCATCTGTGTATTTAGCTACGAAACACCTAGCCAAACAGACAGACAGACGTAGCTGCAAGTCCCCTTCCATCCGGCGTTCTCCGCCGCTTCCCTTTCCGAAGAACAACTTGGACAACAAGTCAGGCATTAACCGACAGCCAACAACCCCCAACCGTCAACCAACAGGACATCTGTCCTGCGGTCTATCTGCTCTCTTCAACAAGGCTACTGCACAGAAAAAAGGAAATCGTCAACCCTAGCTATAAATACACTTCGAGAAGGGTGAGGCACCCAAACGTACTTACTAATAAATTGTAGACCATCACCCGCACACCGCCTTGTTTAAGAATGTATAAACCTATCCACATAATCGCGGCATAATCATCAGCACCTAAGCGGGCAAGAATAATACGACTCGACCGGCCCTGGCCTAGATAGGACACGAACCGGCTATAGGGGGCAGAAAGCCTGTAAGGGGTGGGGGGCCAAATGCATGCGAAACACATGCTACGTAGCCGCCACCAACCCCCTCAAAGCAGCAGTAACCCCCCGCTAGAGCAGCACTTCTACAAGTCTTGTGTGCCGGACGCTATCCACAAGAGAAAGGTTAACCGCCCCTCTCCCTTCCGCCCTCCCTCATCCTTCTTACAGGGCCGCAGCACCGAGCCTTACGTCCTGCGGTGAAGCGCCATACCTGCCATTGCAGCTGCGCACATGCAGACATACACACATACATACATACAGCCAAGCGGCACCACAGGCTGCAGCAGCAGTAGCAGTAGCAGCGACAGTCGCGACATCTGGACCAGCCCCCTCCGGACGCCGCAATCAATCAATAGGCGCCTAAATGGCATTAGACCAATGTGCCAGCAGGAGCGGCAAGGCGCAACGGACCCAGGTAGCCACGAGTAGAACCCGGCGAAACCCAAAGCTCCATTCCCGCATGCCACCACAGGCCCCCCTAATGCATCCTCAGTAGTAGTTGTGCGCTTACACAAGCACAACGGAAACAACGCAAGGAAGCAAAACGGTCTTTTTTCCTGACCTTCATTAAATGTCAGTTGCGCAACAGTTGAGGTCGTTAGCGCGAGCCGTACACTGGCAACTGCGGTGACGACTGAGTCGCGTAGGTTGGCGCGGGGCTGGTCTGTTCGGTAGGAGACGGCGGAGCCGTTGGCGGCCTCTGGGGCAACGTTGGCGGTGGCTGGGAACGCACCGGCGGGCGCCGAGGCGTCAGTGGCGGCGACGGCGGCGGGAAGGTGTAGAAGTTCGCGCGCACACCCACAATGCCTAACGCTTGGGCCAGCGGCTTCAACAGGGCTGCGGATCGCTCGTTGATGGTTTCGGATTGGTCCAGCTTGAGACCGCTGACTTTGAATACGGCCGCCAGGCGGTTGTTACGGCAGTTGTACGACAGGAACTGGATGCTTCCGCTGGGTAGCTCCAGCGCAGCCCGGTACTGCTTGCCAAGTGCCGCCAGCAGAGCGGCTTCGGAGGTGATGGTCTCGCAACCTTCCGGGTCGTTGAACTTGCCGTACAGCCTGTAAAGCGGGCTCTCCTCAATGACGGCGTCGGCATAACTGACGCGGTTGACGGGGCAGCAGGTAGCCTTGCTGTCGGCGACGAGTACGGCACAGGCGGGCTCGGGGCCGTACGAGGGTGCGCAGAGGGACGAGGCAGCGCCGCATGTGGGATGGTCGGATTTCAGCTGCACGCAGACGGTGCGGTCGGCGGGGTTGGCGGCGTCGGCCGGCGGCAGCGTCGTGATGCGTTCGATGGACAGGACGCTGGAAGCGTTGTCGTACGTTACGCTGCTCCAGGGTTGACCGTCGACGGTGACGGCGTCAATGGCGTCGGCGCAGCCAGAGGCTGAACAGGGAAGAGGGGAGGGGACGGAGGGTTGTTGAGGAGGGCGAGCTCAGCGACCCAAAGACGTGAGGAATCAGTTCGCCTGTCAGGACACACCTATGTAACGCACGTAACACACACACACACACACACACACACACACACACATACGTACATAATTACACACACAGACACACACGCACACTAAGGTTCTAGTGCATCTACAGTGCCATCGTCGCAATCCAGTGGGCTTGATGGTGGTATCTTCGTGTACCAACGGTCTATCTACTCCCAAAGAGGATACAACAAGCAATCCATGCGCCGCCAAAACGAGTTTACCAATCGAAAGCTGCAGGTGGTGGTCTTTGCACGTAGCTTCTGAACAGCGCAGGTCTCACCTATGACCAATTGGATCCTGCTGACTTGGTTTGCGTTAGGCGCCTGCTGGCAGCTGTACTTTACGACTTCAGGCATCTTGTTGGAGACCTTGAAGCAGAAGGACGAGCGGTCAGGGCGGGTGATGTTGAGGACGAGCGGGCTGTGGTAGAAGGTGGGGTCGCAGGAGCTTTTCGACTTGAACGTGAACTGGCTGCCGAGCCATGCCAAGCTCTTTCGGGTTTCCTCCGGCTTTTGCTGTCCAGCCTGGAGTACGCGCCTGCAGGAGGCAGGAAGACCGTTTAAGAGGGAGTTTACTTCAACGATGGGGTTAAAATGGGTGCCAGTTAGTTTTCCTTCCGGCTCAGAGATCACAACCATTGGCAATCTGGATTCCTACGGCAGCCCACCGACAACCAAAAGAATGATCGTGTAATCCTTAAAACTAAGATAATTACATTTTATGGATATCCCTTTCACTGTGGGTTAAATGCGGCAAGAGCGGTTACTCTGCTATGCGAGGGTACGATGAGTCATGTGGCCTGGTCACTTCGAAAAGCCAAGCCCGAATCTCACCTTGACACACGCTCAAGCGAAGCGGCACGTGATACTTGGGCAGCTAAGGTAAAGGCAATCAGTAGCAGTGCCAGTCCCCGTGGCCATGGGTGGGTTGGCCAGGACATGGCTCGCTGCAAAGTCCGAGAGCAAGCTTCCATCTGCATGACAGCAAAATGGGTTACAGAGACATTTTTAGTATGAGCGCGCACTGTTATGAACTATCTTTACAGTCAATTGTTCAAGTATACGATACTAATCCTAACCGTTGCCGGGCAGCGTGTGCCGACAGCAAAAAGCTTACGCTGGGATACATCTAACTGCGTCCCAGTGCGCCTATAGCTTACCTTGAACACTTGCTTACACCAATGGATTGCAGGACTAAGGAAATGTTGGTCTTTTGGGTCTATCTAGTAGAGCACTGTTGGTGCTGGGCCCCAATGTTGTAGGAGCGCCTTTTAAGCACGTTGCAGTGTAAATCTTACAATAGATGTTATGTTATCATGTATTAGGGTCTTTCTTAAGTACGCTTTACCGTTGCCAACCGGTATCTGTTGCGGTATCGTACGGCCCGCCTGAAAGACGCGTGTCCGACAAAGTCAACCGACCCGCAACTGGTCACGCAGCTATCAGGTATGGGCCAGCTGTACGCGTTATAACGCCCTGGCTTGTAGTGAACCCAAAAAGTCTAACCGGCCTTGGACGAAAGCCGAAAGTTTGAAGTACGGAGACGATCAGTAGTCGCATTCGTATGCCAGCCATGAAGCTGTGAAATATAATAAGGCGTAGCCGCGGCCCCAAACGCTGCCTTATATTGCACACTTCTATAACCATGATTTTAAACTGTGCCAAACACAGGTCGACAGCGCCGCTTAATTGATGAAAAAATATGTGGGTTGCAAACATAAAGTAAGGAGCAGCAAATTTAACAAAAGCTTTAATACAGAACATAATTGAACATCCAAACAACTTCCTCGTACTGTCGTAAGTTGAGAATTACGTTCGCGCAGTATAGGAGCTCTTCGCAAGGCGTAGTAACACCCAGTTTGCCATTTCGACATCGGCCGACGTCTACCGACGTCTGAGCCACGCTTCAGCGCCTTGGAATGGTCCCACTACTGTGTGCGTGTGTGTGGTTGTTACAGTGGCCCCTCCTGCCGCATGTCATGCGTTCCGTATTCTTGGTTAGCCACCTGGCAAGCGAACTTTTCAAGTCCCGAACGCAGATGGCTCCTGGCGACCCAGAACGGATAAAAGTATCTGAACTTTCAAGAAGAGCAGAGCTTCCTGCGTGCTCAGTGCAGCCTAGTCACACCTTCTAACGAAGGCTCACCAAGCCCAGTCGTGCATATGTCGGAGAACGACATGTGTCGTTTCCTCCAAATGAAATCTGTTATTCAACTTATGTATTTGTTATTAAATTGTGATATGTCATGCCTGGGACGGGACGTGTAGGCACAGACGGACGCTTACCGATGCACATTTCCGCAAGGACGCACACAACTGAGCCACATAATATTTAACAACTACAGATCAAAACGATGAAATGCTCACGGGGACGAGGTGTGTAGGTCCGTGAAGTCAACGCTGCCGATCGCCTATGCCGAATTCTACGCACCGTGAGTTTCACGAGCAGTCATGATATCCCACTTTACAGCAGCTGCATCCACAATATCTATGACTTCAAAGTGTGAAAGCAACAAAAGGAGCTTTACGACGACCCAATAATCCTTCAGGCTTCATAATTCCCGCCAAGGACATAACGCCCAATTTGGGAACGCATATTGCCTAATCATGGCGAGCACCTCCAGGACATCCGCATTTCCTTACAACTATTCAAATGCCTTCGGGACGTATCTTCATGCGCATCGCTTATGAATCAAAAGTTTTGATCCTGGAGCAAGTTCCGTACCGTCCGAAGCCGACAACGCATGTTTGCGCATACAGAAATGCAGTCGCCCGAGTGACCTGAACCATCGCCCGCATACCTTTTGCAGAACGATTAGGGTCGAGCAAAGTGCAGAGGTATGGTGTCTTCCCGGGGCCGGCCGCCTCACGATGGTGAGGCCGGTTCTGCACCGCCTTATGCCATGGAATCCACCAAGCACTCACTATTCGCCAAACAGTCAAGGGCAAAAGACGGCAGTGCACAAAGAACAGCAGCACCAGCAGCAGTCGCAAAAGAGTTCTCCCCATGGCCTCTGCGCACGGTCCTTCGCTCTGTACGCGATTGCAATGGATGTCGTCATCGTGACGACGAAACCCTCTGCTGCGACTTGTGGTTTCGACACCTCGCTTGCTCTCTGCTTGCTTGTTTTTATTATATATGATGAAGATTTCATCCCAGCATCCCACGATGTTCTCAACACGGGATCTTATGTCCGGATCCGCTCTTTATTTCCTTCAGTGGGCACTTTTGGCGGTTGTCACATGGCTGTCTCATCGCGCCCTGACAGGGTCGCTGTGTATGGACCGCGGTGGCCGTCCTAACAACAGGGCAAGCCTTGGGGAAAAGCGACCCTATCACTTGTCCTTCTCCCAGCGGCGAGCCCAGGTGCCGCATACTATCAGGAGACTCGCACTCCCATGCCAAACTCCCATGCAGCATGGCGAGAACCCCACATGCCACAACATGCGCTTGCTCCCTCACCGCCATCAAGTTCCTGTTGTCCGCTGCTTGCCATCCACCTCGCTGCTTACCACGCCCAGCCTCTTTTCGCGAACAGAAACCCAAACAGACACATATATGCACGCAAACAGGCGTGGTTCAGCTGGCCCTACATCTACATCCCGGGTGACCCTTCCTGCCTTGTACAGAACAAAACTCCGACCGGCCCTATTGGCACGCCTCCAAACACAGAGAGCTTAACACCACCATCACTGCTTTTGCTTGCACGTACACCTGCACAGGACGCGATGGAAGCAAGTAAGCAAGCATACATAAAAACAACACTGCGGGATGTTACGGTAGTTGGAAAAAGGAGACCGTGCTGGTGTCCGCCTCTCCTAAATCGGCTTCATGCCCTTGCGGTGCTGCTGCTGCAGGGCCATGAGCTGCCTCATCTCCTCCTCAGCTTGGAGCCTCTTGACTCGTTCCGCAGCCAGAGCCTCCTCCAGGAGGTCCATCCGCTTGGCCAGCTGCGAACACAACAACCACAGAAAGGAGACAGCTCAAAAAGTTGTGACAGGTTGGAAAGCGCGAGATAGCGCAGGGAGCATGTCCGCGCAGTTACAGGCCCCTGTCGGATTTCGACGCAGGTCACGTCGGAATGAGCCACGACGACCATAACACGACATGAGCTGCGCGGTAAGCGGTATGACAACGAGGGAAACAGCGTGGACAGGAGGACGTCGAAGCAGCAGACGATAGTACAGCGTAAAGCCTAGGTGAGTCCTCGTTGCTGCCCTGGCAGCCTCAGCAAAAAGAAGAGCCTGTAGCGTCTTACAGTGCTTTACCGGGCGCTATACCGGGTTAGCGATGTACACGTCCTCCGTCAACCCTGTTTACATGGGCCACTTTTAAAACCCACCGAGCCCAACAACCTACCGCCGATTGCGACTCCGTCCCGGCCTGGCTGCCCTTGGTGGTGCGTGGCTGAGAGGCAACGGAGCCCGCCTTGCCGGCCGCCGATTTGGCCACTGACGCCATGCTTCGCGCTTCGTCGTCCTGTGGACCCCTTCCTGCCGCTGATGGTGGTGATGGTGCTCCTGCTGCTGCTGCTGATGGTGCTCCTGAGGCTGCAAGAAATTAAGACATAGAAAGAGAACACCGCCATGAGAAGGTTGGCTGCGTGTTGTACGATATACGGTATAAAATGGCGCCGGATGCTTAACTGGCCTCCGCAGCGAGATATCGTTCCATCACGACACGTAAACACTTGGGAACGACCCAGGCAGGCCGAAGCAGCGTCGTGGTGGTGTATCTTTACTTGCTTCTTGACTCCCGCCGCCGTCATGAAGCGGCGGAACCGGAATGAGGGAACGTGGGCAAAGAGCTTTCTTCTCCCTCGCTCCCGCCCTGCGAGGCGCTATAGCTCTCTGTCGCTTTCTGTCTCTGTCACTCCTCCCCAGTCTGGTGGCTGACCTACCTGCCGTTAGGGGCCGTTGGGGGTCCTGAGGACGGCCACACGTGACGATTACGCCGGCACCTGTCAGATGGGGGTGGTCGGATGGTGCCCTGCGGATCTGCGAGGACAGCGGGTATTGGGCAGTTGGTGAAAGGATGGGGGCTGGCGGGTGCAGCAACGGCGGAATACACGGCGCGTGGTTTTGGTTGTGTTTTTCCATGATGCCTTTGTTGTTGTTTATGGCCCGACATGGCGGAGGGGTGTGACTGGAAAGCGCCGAAGTCGCACGTGCTCGGGTTTTTTCCGAAGTGTGGCAGGCAACAGAACATAGACTGGAGTTGCAGTTGTTGAGGTGTGGGAGAGTGAACGAATGCGTAAGCGAGGGGAAAAAGGCATCTGGGTTGAGAGACTGTAAAAGGTGTGGCCGCTATTCGAAGCTAGTGACCCGAGGGTCTGGATGGAAGGGGCTGCTCTTGCTACAGTCCGACAAACTAGGCGTGAAGGAAGTCAGCGCATATCGACACCATAGACGAGAACGTACCTGGGCTTGCCCCAGGGTGTTCAGGAAGGTCACCTCCTTCGTGGGCGGCTTGGCAGTTTCCGGTTCATCTTGTTGTTTCACACCATATTGAAGCTCCTCCTTCTCAATCTGCGGGCGCGAATGGTGGGTGGGATTGGAAAGTTGGTTACGCCCTCAACAGGCGGCTTTCGTCGGGGCGCGGGGGCATGAGACAAGCGGGTCACGGGAGGGAGAAACGGTCGCTTGCGAAGGGTTACTTTGTGCGCTGCTTTGCAGCTGGGATTATCAATTGCAAGGCGTGAGGTAATCCCCACAGAGCGCTATCCTTCGCAACTTGTCAACTGAAGTGGCCGTTGGCAGGCACGCGTGCGTAAGGCTCCTGTCGACGTGTTGAGGCAGCAAATTCGCAATATATTTTCATAGCTGATTCTTATTTACAGCAAGACATTCGCTACACGTCTAAAAACCGCACGCCCAACATATGGATATTCCTGGGTAAGTACCCCGTAACTCCTGGGCTTGCAACCCTGTAGGGCACCTCTAGAAATTACATTACAAGCAAGACCTACCCGTGATTTCCACCACCTGTCCTGCTGGGAAGGATCAAGCTTGCCCATAACGTATCGAAGTGATGAACCGATAGAACCACGATGGAGAGCGGCAACCGAAAAGTTAATCACAAAATTATGTGTATAAGATATGATGAAGCAGTTGGATAGAGTACTGCGTAAAGTGCAAAAATGTTTTGCGTCCCGAAGAGCAAAGCGACCAAATAGTAGAAGCTCAACTGCTGACTCAAACAGTATATATTACCGCACACCTACGTATACCCTTCTGTTTTAAATATTTATCGATATACTCCTGTGATTTGTGGGCCCCACTTCGAAGGACCCACAACGGCTTTCGTACCTCGTCTGTCAGTTAGGACTTGGACTCACGTCTGAGTGCTAGGAAATTACTCACGTGTTAGGTCAATGCTAATAGAGCGAAACTAAGGTGCTCGTAGGGGCGCTGGTGTCCCAAGCTACCGCGTGGTGCTTCAAATGTCAATACTGACTTGCGTATTATAAGTCGCAATGACAGACGTGCATCTGGCTACATCATATGCTGGTGATGCGGCTCAGGTGGAGGATACCTTGGGGTTGCCAAGTTATGCCCAATTCAAGAGATATGCCACATTCAGGACGGATCTTACCGACTTTGGGTAAGCTTTGAACAATTAGGAGCGCTGGTGGGTGCCCCAACAAATAGTGCTCTTAATGGCCATGCGCAGCATAGCGCGCGTTAAACCTGCCGTTCAGCGGTTCAGTTCAAATGAACACATTGTTGTGCCATTCCTGTAACTATGCAGCCTGCTTGATACGTCTAAACCGGCTATGTTGGCACTGCCACATGACCGCTGGGCACCAATTCCCCTCTCGCCCGCTGTCTTGTCACTTTCCTTTTAAAGGTTTACTCGCTGCAGCTCTCTAGCCTGTCTGCTGCTTCCTCTGCCCATTACTAATGAACAACTGCACATGTACTCCATCTCTTCGTCCCCTCCAACACACAGACATCGCAAAACCCATTTCGCCTGAGAGGTCATGCGCCACCCCTCTAGTACCGCCATTCCCTCCTCCGCACCGCTCCCCTCTGCCACCTCCGGGCACTCCGTTTGATTGCCCCTTCACAACCCTCTTCCCCATCCCTTCGCCCCCCCTTCCTTCCCCCAGCGCACCCGCGTACCAACTCCAAACGCAAAGGAACCGCCATTCCTGCTCCTCCCGCGTCCCTGGCCTCCCCTCCTTCCCCCTCCCTCACCAACTTGACCAACGGAATCCTAAACTAACCTACCAACCAACCCTACATACCCACAACCAGCTCCTCAATCAACTAAAACCAACCAACCAACCAACCAACTAATCAATCATTGTAGGGTGGACATGAAGCAGCTGACCAGGCTACTGGCTGAATGCGAGTACGGACTGGCAGTTGGTGGCATGGGTCTGGGGGACCTGAACGTCCTCTTCGCCGCCATTGCGAAGCGCAGCGGGGCGCTCACATACGACGGAGTGCTGAGGCTGTGCAGGCAAGGGGGAACCGGGAGTAAGGAAGGGCAAGGGATGACTGACTTGCTTAATGCAGAAATAGGATTAAACACCTCCAGGACACCGGAATGATGTGAGAGCCAATTCACGAAAGGGCCGCATGCCAATTATATGGTTTGTAGTGGCTCGCTAGGTTGAGCGATTAGGATGATCATGAGCGGCCTTGGCTCGCCTCTTGACCAGACATGTTTGGGTTGGAGGTTTTTCTTCCGAACCCCCCTTTCGCCCCGCAACCCCCACCCGGACGCGGCCTGCAATCCGGTTCCACGACCTTGTAACATTCGCTGACATTTGTGAAAATGGCACTCCGATTCGACCCCTCCATCTCCTGCACCTCCCCCGTCTCCTGCACCACCTCCTCGGTTGTCTTATTGCTGATTGTATTCGCCGTGTTCCCCCGGTGCGCTTAATCGCCCTCATGGCCTCAGGCTGCTCCGTCCCCGGTTAGCGAAATTAGAAGCCATGATGGAAGCCACTGACCCAGATCAGCGGGACCCCACCCGATATCGACCACGTACGGCACCGGGGGGTAGACCTGGATCTGGTTCTGGAGCAGATCTGTGGGGAACTCTGAGCGGGAGGCTGCGCGGCGGCGGCGGCGGCGGCTGGCTGCATAGAGGCGGAGGAGGGGGGTTTGTGGGGCCGGATCCCGGTAGCTCCAACCCGCAGATAGACTTTGCAGCCGGCATGGCAGCGGGGGAGGGCGGTGGCAGTGGTGCTGCTGCTGCGGGGCCGAGCACGGGACAGGGAGGGGGCGCGGCGGCAGCGGGGTCACAGCAGCAACCCAGCGCGGCACCTCCTGGCGGCCGGTCCGTTGCGTTCCGACAGGTGCGTGCGTTGGAAGGGGGGGAGAGGTGGCACATAAGTAACTGTACCGTGAGGAACTAGTGTGGATGTGTGTGTGTGGGGGGGGAGGCGCCCGAGGTGTTGTGAGTGCAATGCAAGAAGGAAGATAAGTAAAGCAATGGTAGAGACGCAGAAGCAAGCCGAGAGGCCAAACGATGTCTTGTATGCGTGTATGTATGTACATATACGCGTGCGGGCCACAATTCCACGGAGCCGGGTGCGGATGGGTCTGAGGCAGCGGCCTCACCGCGGCCTCGGGCAGCAGCTCCGGAACCCGCCCAGTCCGTGCACCGCAGCCCAGCGGCGGCGGTGCTGCATCTGCTTTCAACTCCCCCATCTACACCCGCACCGACCTAGCCATAAGCTGCATTACCACCCTCCCCCGCCTCCTCCTGCTGCCCTGGTAGCAGCTTCACTCGTTTGTGGTTCGTCTTCCCCCTCCTCCTCCTCGAGCGCTCTTGCTCCTCAGCGCACTGATCTCGAACATGTGCTCGCAAATCCCTTCCCACGTCCTGGGCCTAAAACCCTCTTGCGCCCCGTCTCCCCCTTTCCCTCCCCTCCTCTTTTCCCACCTAACCCCCATCACGGCAAAATCCGCCTATGGCGATTCTGCCCGCCGTAGGTTCCGGAGCAAGGAACCTCACAGCCAGCAGCAGCAGCAGCAGCACCCGCCAGCAGCAACCCCGCAGGAGCCAACCGTATTTCCATGATTGGAAACACGGACATTGCTGGGTTGGGCGGCGCGGGCGGGTCGGGTCCCTCGACCTCGGGCCGCGCCTCTGCGGTGCCCAACGGCTTGTCCAGCTTGATGGCCCTGAGGGACCCCCCCGTGCTGTTGAGGGAGCAGCTGCCGCCGCCCCCCTGCAGCTTCCCTTCCATTGCGGCACGTATCTCCGGCATCATGGTGCGTGTGTTGGGGGGAAAGGGGAATGGAGGAAGGGAGCCGCTGGTCGGGGGGGATCAAAGGGGGTTTGTAGGAAGGAGGGCGCGGATCTCAACCTTTGTGGTTTGAGAAGAAGAGGAGGAAGAGGAGGAGGAGGAGGAGGAGGAGGGTTTGTCGGATGAAACCCAATGGACCCAGAAGCGGTGCAGTGGGTACCACTAATGGGCGCGTACCAGGTACCACTCTTGGACATCATTCACGCTGGGCTTGGGGGTGCCTTGGGCTTGGGGCTTGGGGGTGCCAAATGTGTGTGGTTGCGGTGGGTGGGTGCCTGGTAAGGTGGTGGAGTGGAGGCACGGTGGTTTCAGGACGGGGCGTGGATACTCCCACTATGCATGTCATACACTTCTACGATATGTCACGTGTCACACGTGTCATACTGCGTAAACGCCGTACGCCGCCCGCAGGTGCTGTACCGTGACGGCGAGATGACGCGGGTGGGTCTGGCGTTGCGGGACCTGCAGCGCGACTGGGAGGACGCGGCGTCGGCTGCCGCCGTCACGGCCGCCATCCGTCGCCAGGCGTCAGCGGCGCTGGCCAGCAGTGGAGCGGCCGAGCCCTCTAATTCTGACCTGCGTGGTGAGATCCCTCTGGAAGGACGTATCTGGCTGCTGCTGCTGCACGGCTGCAGCCTCATGATGGACGGCAAGTACCGGGCGGCGAGGAAGAGCCTGCAGGCGGCTGAGTGAGTTAGGAGAGGGGGAGGGGAAGTCGAGGAGGTGGGCGGGGAGGGGAATGCGTAGGCATTGCGGGGGTGAGTGGGAAACCGGGAATGGATGGCTCTTGGAGGTCGGAGGGAGAGACTCTGGCCCACACTGGGTGGTGACGAGGAATGAGGAAAAAGAGGGAGGAAAGAACGTGGGAGGGAATGTTACGGCAGGGAGAGGAGAGGTGAGGGAGGAGATTTGGATGGGCCAAATATGGCAGCTTTCCTTTTGTGCCGTCGAACGAAACCCCAACAGGCGACATGGCGGTGGTGTGACGGTCTCCCCCGCCGCCGCGTCCCCTCCTTCCCCTCCTTGTTACTGATCCTAATCTGCCTCAGAACCCTGTTCAACCCCAAGGTCCTGGGCATTGAGCACCCCTACCACCACTGCACGCACATGTTCTTTGGACTGCTGAGCTACTACGAACAACAGGTGAGCTGGGGGCCTTGAGGCGGGGCGCTGGGTGGCGGGCCAGGTGGCGGGTGCTGACTAGCAAAGCTGGCGCTGGCTACAACGGCTGTGGGACTTGGGGCTTTATGATTATTGCTCCTGTTTGCAGTTTACGGCATCAGCGACGAGAGCTGTGAATGACGGGGAGCGCAACCGCTCTTTTAACACCCGTCCCCTGCGAAACCCTGAACGCCTCGCCGGCGCTGGGCAGGTGTCAGCCCTTTTCCCCATTCCTTCAACCATTGCTTTTTCCACTCTCCTTCATTTCCGCAGTTATTGACTCTTGCTTTGGCACATGTACGAACTACCGTACTCTCGGACCATTGGCATTTCCCTCATCGTGACTCAGATTATTAAAGCTACCGTACCCTCCATTTGCTGGCCTTACACTCTCCTCGCCGCAATGTTTAAACGTGCTTGCACTTTGGCAGTATGAAGAGGCCATTGACAAGTTCGAGTGTGCAAAGGAGTTGGCGAATCTTGTGTCCCGTGGATCACTCAATGTCACGGCGCGTCGCAACGAGGCGGCCTGCCTCAACAACAAGGGCGTCTGCCACTCGGTATGCACTACTCGCGTGGCGTGAGGGGAGCCTAAACTGGGGGAGACTTGGGGGAGGAGGTAGCGAGGGTTGGCTGGGGCGGGACACTCTGTCCCCCTTGACGACCTGTGCCTTTTGCATGGGTGCCTTTTGCATGGGCGCTTTGCATGGCGGGGCGTCGCTCGTATGACTCATATGACTAGGGGGGTTTGTACTGGCGAGGTGGTGCACCGCTTTGTGCGCTGTTGACCGATTGCCAAGTGCGGAACCGCCCTCCCCCCTGCCTGCACATCCCTGGGGCCCTTGCGTCGGCAGCTGTTGGGCAACCGCTCCGAGGCCGTCATCGCCTTCCGCGCCGCCCACCAGCTGCTGCGGCCCACGGACGGTATAGCCGAGGTGCCGGAGGCATTGGTGGCGCAGAGGAACCTGAATAAGGCCCTTAAACAGGTGGGTGGGTGGAGAACTGCGGGACGAACTCAGCCAGCCTCCAACGCTGGGGGGCTCTGTGTAGGGCGGCGGTGCTGTTGCGCCCACAGTCAGGAGGGACGGAATGGAGGATGTGACAACACGCTGCCTGCGGCACACGAATGCCGTGCGGTATGAATGTTGTCTCTCTTCATGGACCATGCCTTGCTACTGCTTGCTCTTAACTACGCTGTGGACGCTGCTACGCTGAGTTACGATGGAGCAAAGACCTAAACCCGCTGACCTCTGTCTGAGCGCGATCGAGTTTGGAGCCCTTGTGAGAGACTCGACTGGCTGATAATTTTCCGTACATCCTAGAGCGCGCACACATTGTTGCGATGTGACTCGCCGCCGTCGTTGCGAGGATGTGCTTACCTGCCTTTGCTTAGCTGCCTGCCTCCTTGTTTGCTTGGTTATCTGCCTCCTTGACCGCTTGCTCCCATTGGCTGCTGTGCGCAGGGCTTTGCGCTCAACACGGCTAGGCTGCGGCCCACCAGTGCCCCTGCGATGTATTCCCACGTGGGCAGTACCTCCATCCCACGGGACCAGAAGCTGCAGACCTTCTTACGCACGGTCAGTTGCGCGTCGGCGGTATATTTGTTGGTATGTATGCATGCACCCAAATCCACCTAGGAGCACTGCCCTCACCCATTCGCCGATGATTCGCTTGTGTGTGTGTGTGTGTGTGTGTTACATGGTCGTGGGTGCGGTCCCGGTACCTGCAAACCGCCCTAATACGAGCCGAGGGCTCAAGGGCTGCCAGATCGCCTATAAGCATGTGGAGTTTGTTGCATGCACGTACAGTTCTGCCAGCTACGAGTCAGATGACTTGCTCGCAGACAGACATGCAAAAACACTTGGTAAGTCGCATTCTATCCCCTTGGACTCTCGTTTCCCTGTTGCCTCTGTACTGACGGCTTAGTTTGCTGTATGGTGCCTACTGCCTTCCGCCTTGGCCCGCAGGCGATCACCATGCGGCCGCCGGCCCCCGCCACCGTGGTACCCGCCTGGTGCCATAAGGTTACGGCCGACGACATCATTGCGCGGAAGAAGGCCAAGGAGGCGGAGAAGAAGGCCAAGGCGAAGGCAGCGGAGAAGGCTAAGAGCGGCGGCGACAGGGCCAAGTCCAAAGTGAAGAAGCCGCCGCCCTTCGACGCCATGACCACATACCCGTTTGCCGCTTATGGCCTTGCAAACATCAAACTAGCTGCAGTGAAGAGGGGCCGGAGGAAAAAGGCGGCGGCTGCCACTTAGGGCAGTTTTCCTGTAGATTTGGGGTGGGGAATTCATGATTAATTTTTGCTTTGCTGCGGTATATGCGAGTTGAGTGTTGCTGATGTGTTCCAGCAGGTGTGGCATAGGTGCGTCGTATAATGGATGATAGGGCCCCGTTGTTGTGGATTAGCGCTTGACAGGTAGATCTGGGAGGACTGGGGGAGCTCTTCAGGCAGGAGCGTAGGTAGGTAGGTAGGTGCAGTGATCATAATATAAAAGCTATATACACCGGTATTATGTATATATGGCCTGACGACCATCATATAGTAGCGATGGGTAAGCATGTCTTCTGTGCAACTATGTGCAACTCAATATCGTGGTTTACTGTCCTATATATGTGGATGCCATTGCATTCTGTGGCCCCTGCGTTGAAGCGAGGGTATATCGCGTGCAGAGCGGGACTTCAAAACCGATATCGTTTACAGAGCTGGGAAGGAAGATACCCCACACGTCTCATACAGCGTGTCGTGCCTCATGAAACCCATTCCCCATTTGCTGGCACGTTGGCCGGTGATACTGTAGACTAAAACCCTAACACAATGTAACCCTGAATACATTCTCTCTCATATTCGTTTAAAGGACGCCGTCCCACAGCCTTCCGAGACAGGCCGGCAAAGCAAAGCCCCCACAAGCCGCTCAGCTGCGCTCAGCGATGATATCAGCGAAGAGTTTCTGCAAAGGATGAGGAGCAGCGACAACATTAGCCACATAAAGCCGGTATCCATTCCAAGTCTTTCCACGCAATCGCCTCACCCCCTTATTCCGCGTCGTCCAAACTTTGTCAACAACATAGTCAATTGCCTGCAAGAAAAGCAAAGAAAGACAGCGTGATAAGCAGCACGTAAACGGCGTTCGCGACAGGGGTCCGCTCACCTCATTCGAGAAATAAGCCCCAATGCAAAGCATGGGGATGTACACAGTTGAGCGCTTGAAGAACGCCTGAAGATGTGAAAAGCGGTTCAGCAAGTCTTGCGCCGAATACGAATCACCATCTTAAGCTGCCACACCTGATACACGCCTTCAGGTAGCCGCAACATTTTGACTAATCCCAAAGGACACGGATACAATGCAAATAACAGACCTGACAGTGCTACAAGACAGCAGGAACCCACAGGTACTAACCTATTGGACGATTATGTACGACGTTCCTACTTATACACTTCTTAAGCAGTCAATTCCCTATGATGATGACGTTGCATTTGCACTAACAAGTCCGACACTTCTGGTCTTCAATATCCTTACTGAACTACTTAAGGACTGCCCATTTTGTCCAACCCTTCCTCAGTCGATTATGACTGCAAAGAGTCAACCCGAACGTTGGTCTAGGAATTGTGGCAGTGGTGGAGTGGGAAACAGCGGTCATGTGACGGATTACAGGTATGGCCCATGGAGTCGGTGGGGTAGGGGCCGCGCGTCTTTGTTTATTGTCCTCGGGGCAAAGCCGAATAGCTCTCGTTCATGCTTTGTTTCCACGAAACCTCCTCCCTTACGTTCTCAAATTTGGGGAGCCTTCGAAGCAACGACAGGCTTGTTTTACTAGTTTCGCTGGTCATGTATGTTCTTCTAAAACGTATGCAATCGTGGCTTCCATGGCTTGTTAATGCTTTCTTCGGCCAATCTGCCGTGTGAATATCGGGTTTAGCAGGACTGCCCACAACTGTAATGCAACAGGACTGCCTAAGACTCTCCGCGTCTCTGTTGTTCTTGTGACGGCTAGCCCAAAATTCAATCAAAGGAAGGCAGGAGCTATAAGTTATGTTTCTAAGCGCAGTGAAACACGCCGTCGACGACTCTCCTTTACTCTTCTTGCGGGGCCCCTCCCTTCCCGTGCTCCAAACACGCAGATCAGGCGTGTTGGTAGCCAATTGGGTCGAGGATGACGCGAAGGCCTTTGGAGTTCCCAGCGACACCATCCTCACCCATACTACCCCCTTCCGTGGTCCACCGACTTCGACTCATCGCCTCTTGTATACCAGCGCGGTAAGTGCCGCAATGAGATTCTGTTGTTACCCACAGCGTCCTTCGCTGCTGGTTTCAGGGGCCCAGCTTTCTGACGTTGCCATAGCTTTCCCGCTGTCTTAACCTAGCACCCCCTTCACCCTTCTTCACCCGCCAATAGGGCAAGACCGGACCTGAACTGCTCGAGGCTTGCGAGCGCCATGACTTGAACCGAGTTGGAGTTAAGGGCGAGCTGCTCACACGGCACGGTCGCTTTGATCAACCCCCCGTGCAGTGCCTAGGTAAGACCCTTAATTATTACACATGGTTAGATTACTTCACGCACCCAAGTGGCATACGCTGGCAACTGCACCATCTGGGAGCACTCAGGTGGACGATTTCAGTCTTACCAGGCCGTTAAAAGCCCATTGGATCCTGTCATGTCCATGTCATGCCCCCACCTTCATTTCAAAATTGGGCATTTCAAAATTGTTCTGTTTGTCTGATGGTTGCAGGGACGACCTACCAAATGACCCACGGGAGGGTAGACGGCACGGACCGCCGGGTGCAGTCGTACCTATGGCACGGTTTTAAACAGAATGACCTTTATGTGCCCCACAGCACAACGGGCGCACAGTCGATGGGGTTGACGACGCGGAAGTTCCAGGAATGGAACGCACAGGCCAACAACGACCAATATCTCACAACGAACCGAGTGAGTCGGTGATTTCCTGAGTGGACAGTTTCCCTTTAGGAGTGCAACGTTTCGCCGCGTGTGATGCGGTCTCGGTAGGATTGGAGGGGGCCGAGACGAGGAGCCAGACCCTAGGCACGGCTGGGGATTCTGAGAGAAGATGCAATCAACGGCCGGCTGTACAGCTGGCGGATGTGAAGGGGTATGGGAGTTGGGTATCTCCAGGACTATGGGGATAATGGGGAGTGTGCAGGTGGTCCCTTCAGCCCCAGGGCGCCCTCTGATCCCACCGACTGCTTGAGGACGCCGTTGGAAGCAGCGCGCACGAAGGAACTGCAAATAGCGTCGATACACGCTAGCCATGGAATATTGCCAGCTATATGCGCGGCACAGCGCGACTGCCCCGTAAAGGGGCCGGTAGTCTGGTGGCATGGCGGCACACAGCGTGTTACCAGCATAGCAGGCTCGTATATGCTGTGCATCTGAATGAACCTGGTTTGTCGTCGAGGGCCAGAAGCATTGCATCATCGCCCATGGTACACAGGGATAGCGCCTATCAACAGCAGAACCGGCGTGTGATGTAAAGATCTCCCACCCCGATGCAAACCCTTCACAGGTGACGTCCTTACCACCTGCTTTGTACACTGCGGAGTTGCCGGGGCGGACACAGACGTTGCGACCACTCGCGGACAGTGGCATGCTCCAACACCCTGCCCAGAGGCCGAAGGGCGAGTCTCGCGATGAGTGCGATAAGAATTACCGTCAGATAGGCATGCGCGTTAACTACAGGTCGTGAGAGGTGGAAGCTGATGGGCAGGGGGCAGGGCCAGAGCAGGATTTTGGAAAGGGGACTGTGTGCAGAGATTTTGTTCTCAAGGAGTTTGGGGCAGTTTGCAGGAGGCTTTGTTGCGTTTTGCAGCTGGATACTTGTTATTGCTCACTGTGGGTTCTAGTAATGTACAGGATGTGCGCAGGGCCGGTGCGTGTCTTAATGGTCTGAGCCACGCGCAGAAACTGTTGTATGTTAGCTTGTGCCGGGTTGAGGGGGCCTGTGGGGGAGAGGGGATGCTGCACGCCTAGCTTGGTCCTGGAGCGGATCTTTGATCTCGGCAGGACGCTGCAGCTGCGTCACATAGCAGCATTGCAAAAAGGATGTGCAGTATAGACAAGCCCCGGAAAGATTGGGCAAGTTTATGTAGGTGCGTGCAGGTAGTCAGGATAAACGCTCGACTGAAATGACCTGACCTTGAGACGTTAGACCGGAGTCGATGACCTTTGGTTTGCATAGCACGTTACACCCAAGGGCAGGTCTATTGCCGCCAGTACAGTAGCTACAATGAGGTGCATGCACCCCAAGGCCTTGTGGCCATTGCTTATAGTATTTCTCATGTTAATAGCGCGACGGCTTGAGGAGGGCCTGTAGCCTTCCTGACGTGTCTCTCGCTAACCATGCGCACCGATAATCCACGATGCGTCCTCCCCAATTACTGCTTGTCATTAACGCGCACTGACGCCTTGTAAACAAGCTACTGGGCACATAGACGTGTGCGCTGTACGACCATTGTGCAGCATTTGCCGCCGAGTTGTGTAATCTACCGCGCGTCAGGTATGGTTCCATGTCCCAGCCTGTTCCCTTCTGTGCCTACGCTCGCATGATCGCCAGCAAGCGCTTCACAATCCACGACGAGCCGCCAGCACATAAACGTAGAGAAGCCCACTGTCTATCGTTGTAAGCAGCACAACCATTAGAAGGCTCGCTGCCAGGATTAAGATCATCCGCTGTAAGGCTTGCTGGGGGCTAAGGACAGTGAAGTGCGGGAGGACGTCTCGGCACGATACCACGAATTTCAGAAATGCTCTTAAGAGTTGTCCCACCACTGCCACCATTGTTGCAATGCTTGCACCCCTAAAGCATCATCCAGAAACAAGAGGCATGGTCATGGTGTGCATTGCCAGGCCGCAAACACACACCGTACAGGTAGGTTGGAGCGTGGACTTACCAGGATGAACGCGGTGTGTCTTCCTCTGACAGTTGCTCCCGTGGAGACATCTCCGTACCATAAATGCTAGGTTGTTGTGATGTGCGTCTAACCTGTCTGCAACGCGACTCATTCGTCCATAGTCGCTCTTTAAAGACCTTCGTTGAAGTCTTCGCTCTGATTGAAATGTATAACTGGCTTTTCTGTATCAAAGCAGCACCTTGCATAGCAGCAAAGGACCCTTGCGCGTGCGATGCCAATTGAAGAGACAAGTCTCCTATAACTTCTTATGGCTATGACGCTAACGTACGGACTTATGAGCGAATTGATGTTTACAGTAGCCTGGGAACGTCCAGCAAGCGCATGCGCACTAACCAAAAGCAGACACTGTTTCAGTTTCAGAAACTCGTCGGCAGGGACAGCAGATACAGTATCTGGAAAAGAGATATGTAGATGAAGACCATGTAATGGTGAAAACAGTTTTGGTATGTGTACATCGGCCAAACATACAAACCAACAAACCCAACGAAAGTACGACTTACTAGACTCTCAAACAGACGCACACCAGAACAACAAAGTGCGGGGTTGCGCAGCCAACGTCGCCCGAATAATTCAGGGAGCACCGGGCAACGGTTCACCCTTCCAAAAATGAATGAAATATAGCTCACGACGGCACGAGGACATTTAAAACACACCCGACACAGCCCCTGCGGGACAAAGCAGAAACTGATACCACGGAATAAATTTCACTCCCATGCTGCTCTCTAATATTACAACTGCACCTCACGTCGTGCAGATTGGTTAATTGGTCAGGGCTTCGCTCGCTGGTCGTGGTTCTTCTTTCCAGCATACTCCTCCCTTACAGGCTGCTGCCCGCCTGAATCAGCCACACATGGCGGACACGGTCCACGATTCCCCCGCCGGTGCGAATGGCCTCACTGCATATGAAACAAAGGGCAAAAGAATGTTGCTTCCATCACCAAGGGGAGCAATTAAGACAAACGACTGTCGCCACCACGCGAGGTTGGAAAAGATCTGCGCTCTGCGGAACTGACAACGCCAACACCACCTACTGAAGCAAAATGTCAGGCACAATAGCCGGCAACACCACTACCAAGAAGCGAAGCCAAGCGCTATTCTTGAGTGTCAGTGTCACAGATTTGGAGAGCGGCGGGAAAGAGGACATGCAGGCAGGCAGGTCGGCGGCCAATGACCTACTTGAGGACTTCCAGCTGGGGTGGAACGCCGAACAGGAAAGGGACAGCCACCGTCAGCTTGAGCACCTCATGCAGGCCGCTGCAGTGGAAGAAACCAATATGGCAGCCGACTCGTAAGTGAATGGGTCTCACACGGCCAGGTAATTTCCTGCAGAGATGTGCGCTGCACTCACATTGCTGCTGCCGCCGAAAACATGGTAAATTAGGAGACATCGTCTTACAGCAACACGCACGCCGCTTACATCTTGGCGAGCAAGTCTTAGCGCATGTTGCGTTACGGGTCATTTCCCCAACGTGCCTGACCGGGAACGGTAAAATTTCCAGCTTTATTGAGGTGCCGTCACGTGAGGGGCCTCGCTCGGTTAGCTCCCGTATTGAAGACCCGGCCCAGGGACAGGGGCAGGAGCTCGGAGCATAGCTTACCTTTTAAGCTGTCGCTCCTGCATCAGCACCTCGCCCCCCAGTTCGCTTTCCAGCGCATCCTGAACCGATGCGAAGAGGTAATCGACAGACTGGCAGAACCCCTCAATGCTGACACGTCGCGTGCCATCGGTTCCGTTTGTCGCAGCCACACTAAAACTTGCGCCAATGCACAAGGACTGCTGATCCCAAGTGGGCATAGGGCGTACAAGCTCCTTATGCTGCAGGCCAAGGGGCACGGCATGTTGTGAGCGGCATTCCTAAACGTAGCCTGCAAATGGAGCACATGGCTGACAATCACGAGCCCCAACAGTGATGAAGAATGTGACAGAGCTAAAAGTGTATAGATGATCGTATTGAGGCGTGCACGATGACATGATTCAGTATTCAAGAGCTTGTTCGTGGCCTTCCCATAAATGGGAACTTTCACCCACCCGCTGCGCTGGTCGTAGGACTCGCTTTCCAGGTATCCGCACGACACCATCAGAGGTAAAGAAAGTTATGACCTGTAAAGCAAAGGGGTCAACGACTGAGGAAGTTAGGGTTCTCATGGCACCTTAGACTTTGGTCTTGCCTACCTCACGAACTAGCTCCACATCCTCAGGTCTCCCATTTCCAAAATCTGAATCCGAATGTCGTTTCCGCGCCTGGCAAGGGGATAGATAACGACTCGGTGCTACTGCTTCTCCAAATCAACTTCATGGGGAAAGGATTACCAAAATCTGCTAACCTTACACGTGACGACTGAGGTATTGCGAGCAATCCTTGAAATCCTGCACGCTGCCCGAAGGGAGCAGGTGCTGAAGTTCGACAAATGGACGACTTTTCGTTGCCTTGACATTTTGCGGAATACGTCACGATGAATATGTGAGTTCTAGGTGTACCCAGGCTTTATTCCTGCTTTAAAAGTGAAGATTGTGTGACTGAAACCATGTCAGCCGTACACTGATCAGCGCAGGATTGGCACCTCTACGCTCACTGCCGGATAGGCTGGTGGTGGACAGGCACCTGCAAATCCGTGTCGTGGCTAAGCCAAAGCATTACGAACCAAAGTTATGACGATGGGCTTTCTCCAAGCTTTGTTGCTTCCAACCGCTAAAGGAGCGTCCAAATTCCCGGGATCACTTCTCGGAACGTGTGGCCTCTCTCCTATTTACCCGGATCTGTATATGCTACAACGTATAGGCCGCCATGACGTCACCGATACATCCCTCGACAGCCGTCTCCCGGCCCTAATTAACAGCAATGTTGCCTTTACAGGTTGAGGCGCGGATTGCGGCAAGACTTTCGTTACACGAAAGTTACATATATGCTTCCAAATGTGCCCCGACGCACATGGTAGCTCGTTCATTGGTCCGCTTGTGTTGCCTTCTCTACAGGCATGCAACCAGTCCCTAGTAACTCCCGACCCCCGGCCCGCATTGACAGCGGCGTTGGGCCCCATGCATCGTCTTGGGGGAAAAATTACGACGTCGTATAAGCACGGTCAAGATCCCTACTGCGAACTGCAATAGAGTCGAACAAACGACGAAAGGGCTCGCCGTCAAGTGAATGGACAAACCACTAATCTCCCCGTGCGTTCCAGGTTCACCAGCACAGTGCGCAGCATACTTCGCACGATCACGCTCTCGAGTCTCAACTCGAAAGCAGGGCCGTCGTCGTCCTTTGCCGCACGTTAATAACGGCCCTGCATGACAGGGTGGTTTTCCTTCACAACTACCACTTCGAGCCCCAGCTGTGGCGCGCGTCAACTGGCCTGAAGCCAAATGCTGCTCTCCTTCACAGCAACTAAATCCAGTCCTGTCACTCCAGGCAACGACGAAAATCAACATGTATCGAATCCGCTGTCTGTCCGCCCGTCAGATATCGCAATACTGCGAGCCATACTTCAGTTCTACTTGGTAAGAAAAGGCAATCCACAACTCAACCCAGTCCGCAGCCTTGCTCAGTGGAGTCCGTGATGATGCGAAACATAACATGCGCGTATAACACAGCCCCGTCACATAGTAACCAACCAATCAGGCTGCGAACCGCAGGAAGAGCAGGTGGTTCGTCCAGGACAGCAGGGTGCTCACAGCCACGCAGCCAATGGCAAAAGCTAAGTTCAGCTCTGGCGGCATGCCGCGCAGGATAGATGCCGCGTAGTACAGCAGCAGGAAGCCCAGCCCCTGGTATAGCGACACACGGAACAACCCGAACAACCAGCCCATCAAACCTGACGGTCCCTGTGCCTGCAGCTGCTGTGGCTGTTGTAGCTGCTGCTGTGGCGCCCGGCCGCTACTACTGGTTTCCGCCTTCGGCGAGGCAGCAGGGGACGCCTCTGGCGAAGTCACGGCAGTAGCTGCTACAGCAGCAGCAGCAGCAGCAGCAGAAACGGCGGCTGCATCTGCCTTCTGTTGCGCCAACAAGGCCTGAAGGTCCACGTTGCCCTCAAGGCGCGTTGACACGGTCACCCCGGCAGGCAAGGAGCCAGGGGGGTACATCACTTCCGCCAGCCGGCGGATGGCGCTCTCCAGCGCCAGTAGCAGCTGCTGGTTCTCGTCCTGTGCGGGAGGGCGGCAGGTTGATGGGGGCAACGTGCAAGGGATGGCCGGAAGGACGAGGAGGACGATTTTATGACACCCATATATGCCCCGGAGAGCGCTGCGATGCACGGCCGGGTCACGCGGAAATGCCGTGTTCGCGCCTGATCCACGTTCGTAACGTTCCTGCCTGCATAAGGAAATAGCGCACACACCCCGCATATCCATAGCAGCAAAGGCGCGGTATCATCCAACCGCCATTCTTTCCCCTCCCCCCCAAGACGCATGGATGTCCCACAAAACGCCCTGGGCCATACCCGCAAGGCTTGGACAGCTACCATCTTCCCGGCTTCGGCTGTTTCCACGGCCTCCCCGAGCCGCTCCAGCTGGGCCTGCAGATGCCGGTGGGAGGGGGGAATTATTATATGCAAGGAAACCAGAAATGAACTGGGAGCGGGGGAAGGTAGTAACGGTGGGACAAGCGGAGGTCGGGCGCATCACTTGGAGCTCTATTTGGTAGTCCGCCGGAGGCTGAAGGTGGTCACCTGCCATTAGGTGGGAGGAGGAGTTTACCGCTCCATGGTTGCAAACGTAGAATCTACGTGTATGCGTTAATTCAGCTAAAGGGTTAACTTGATCCATAAATTGTGATAAAGGGATGCAAAGCTCCGCTCCACTCCGCTGAATACAAAGGGATACAGCCTCTTCCGGTGTCCAAGAGACGGATGTACAGCATGGGACGTTTCATTTCCCCACAGGGCGTGCGTACATCATTATTGTTAAGGCATGCAGCTGGCGGATAAAAACAGGCTCCCAGCTCCAATTTCCGCTCCTGGATGATAAACATTCCACCCAACATGCGACAGCGCTCCTCTGCATGCGCGTCCACAATCCGCATACGTCGTCTTTCTCCGCCCTCCCCTCCTCTCCCGCAGCATGTCTTCACTGCAATCCGGTTCAGAATTCCATCGACCATCACGGCGCGCCCTCTCAAGCAAAAAGCCCTAAACCCATTTCCAACTCCCCATCCTATCGCACCACACCACACCATACCACAGATATTCCGGACCACTCCGCTCCATTTGGCCCCATTCCATCCACCGCACACCACACACACATATACACACACCTGTGAGTTCTGCAGCTGCATTGACAGCTCCTCCAGCTGCTGTTGCAGCGGCCCCGCGGCCTCCTCAGCGGCCTCCTTCCTGGCCGTCTCCACCGCCATCTCCAGCTCCGACTGGTGCTGGGCCACCAGGCTAACCAGCTGCTCCTCCCGCTGGGACACCTGGCCGGACAGCTCCTCCAACTGCCGCCTCAGCGGCTCGACCACCTCTATCCGAGCCGCCTCCACCACCCGCTGCTGGTCGTCCCGCTGAGCTGCCAGCAGTCCCTCCAGCGCCGCCTTCTCCTGTTGTTGGAATAGACACAACGGGGGTTGCGATGGCAGTGCGCGAAAGGGAAAACACAGAGGGGGGCCGAGGAGAACGGTGAGCGCGACGGGGTGGTAGAGCGTGTTTTGGGCGTATGGACAACTAAGAGTGTCGAATGAGTTAAAGAAAAACGGCATATTAGTTTCGCCTGGTGGAGTAAGGCCTACTTGGTTAAGGAACGATTTAAAAAAACCTTAAGCAACGTCTTGCCGGAGGAAAGCACTTGTGGATAGGTAAGGGCAACGGGCCGAGGTGTCCGAGGTTGCAAGCCTTGCAAGTTCAACAGGAACCCTTCCCGCGCGCGCGCGCGTGTGCCTGTGTGTGTATGTATGTGTGTGTATGTGCATGTTCAAGGATCGGCACCGATTCGTCCTGGCAATCCAGGACACGCACACGCAAGAAGACGAGAATGCAAGGAGACCAAGGCGATGCCTACGAGTGCGTGCAACAACTGCCCATCAAGGAAGTGCAGCACCCCGTGAGGAAGTGCAGCACCGACCTGTTCAAGACGGCCGATCTGGTCATCCTTCTGGAGCTCCAACTTTTCCCTCGCCTGCAGGAGCTCCTTCATTTTAGCGTCCGCCTCGCCCTGCAGCGCCGCAAGCTTGCCCTCGAGCTCCACCTTTTCCTGTACCATGCGTGGCAAATGATGCGAGACATTGGAGGGTCGGATGCGTTGTCCGGTAGGTGATGAAGAGACCGGACCCGGCCCGGTTCGAACGGTTTGTACCACATCAGGCGGAAGCAATAGCGCATTGCAGCTCCGAGGTCTCCGTCCCGACTACATGCATACATGTTCAGCAGGAGTCCCTAACCCCAGCACCCAAGTCTGAGTGCATAACCTCGTACGGAGCCCGTACACTCAGACCTGGGTGCTGGGGCTAGGCAACCCTGCTGAGCATGTATGCATATAGTCGGGACGGAGACCTCCCCTCCGGAGCTTCCCTCGCGTCACGAAGTTTTGCAAAATGACGACGAGTTGCTGGCGTGCGTGCACCGGGTAAAGGAACGTGCCCGTCTAAATGGTGGCGGGGCCGTCTGCAGCGGCAGCCGGCCTGCAGTGGCCTGACGAGGGCACGGTCAACCTCGTGCTCGCGCCTTAAGCGTTGGCTCTCAACGTGGGGGCCAAAGTCCCTGCTTCGGCACAGACTTGTTCCAGGCCCATGGCTGAGGGATTCATGCGCAAGCATAGCTGGAGGCGGACGTGTGTGGCTTGTTGAATTTAGACTGGTTAGGGAGACTGGTTAGGGCTCGAAACAATCTATAGGAAGTACTCCATGCTGCTAAGCGCGGGATTTCTGACTACGTGAAAGGGCCGTTTGGCCGCCGCCTGAGCAGACGTTTCCCGAGGTAGGGACTGACTGGTAGAGTCCAAGGGGAGTTTCAATGGCAGTAGAGCTACTGCGTTGGGGGCTGTGCAGGCGACTGATGTGCGGGGAACGATTTATACAAGGCACCTTCCCGGGGAACGATTGCTGTTTTCGAAAGCGGCTACGTCCGCTCCCTTCCAACCGACAGCCCGTCCTAGCCTTGGAAAAAAAGCGCCCGAGCCGCCGCACCACGACTTAATCTATGACTGAGAGTGATAATTTTACTTTGTGGTACGGTCAGTTCTTGACCACCTGTGAACGAACCTGCTGAAGTCGGTCAATCTCGTCTTGCTGTTGCTTTTTTACTTTACAGAGCTCCTGGTATTTCGAAACCTCCTCCTTGACCTTCAAAAACTCTTTCTTCAGGGCTTCTGCCTCAACCAGAGCCAGCTGGGCAGGACTCTTGGTGCCGTCGGAATGCTGGGCTCCCGTCGAAGTCCCGTTCCCCGGTTTCGCCGCACGCATGGCCTCCTCTACAGCCTCAAGCTCATCTTGTGTCTGCGGTGGCGAGCTGCCCTGATGGGTTACGCCTAGGAAAGGCGTGTGCTGCCGGTAGAGCCGCAAAGGCACGGCGGTGGGTCGCCGAAAGGTACCAAAGCACGGCTGGGAGGGGCAAGTTGAGGGGCCAGCCCAGCCTGGAGGCGCTGCAAGGGCCCTCATTTTCATGATATCAATGGTATCAAGCCGTGGTAGAAAGCTTGCATACGCTGCCTGGATTCTGTGCACTGCCTAGTTCAAATGATTAGGCCGTCGTAATTGTAATTATTTGTTGTATGGCTGTTCCTATAAAGCAGTAGTGCTTGTAGCAGGTCGGCAAACGGGGAGTCGGCACGTCCTAGTCCTTCCCCGTAATGGCAGCATACAGTCCCGATCAAATTTTGAGCCGCAAACGTTAAGATCCTAACAAGATATCCAAGAGACTTTCGGTGTTGCGGCAAGATCGCCATGAAGTACGGCGCTTGAAGGAGGTGTTACAAACAACGACAGCCATTGACACCAAATGCTCAAAGCAGAAGTGCTACGACCTAAGGCGCCATGTAACTGTGACCATTAACCTCCATTATCCCGCAAGGAAAAGTATGTGGGATTGCTGTTTTAACAGAAGTTAGACGATTGTTCTACAAGGCTGAGCTAGGCTTCATTTATCCTGACAACACGGATATGTAAAATGCATAGCCCTTTCATGCTTTGGCCAGTCCACTCGGCGGCACTAGGCATGCCAGGGTTGGCAGTAGGCACAGCCGCGCGACGTGTTCCAAGGTGGAAACTGAGTCCAGTACCTATCCAAACATGTAAATTATGAATCACTTTAAAGTGCATCTGTAGAGCTTCCCTCTGAACGCATGATGGAACCATGGGCCGGGAAGCGCACGGTGGTCAGCTATAATCTGGTGCGGGACTACTTTCCATGCGAAGCCTTGTTACCAACCCGTGACAAGGGCAAACCCGGTATAGAGTCCACTCGAACACTTCTTTAGAGCCGATTTCTCCGTGAAAGCAAGTGCGCGCCTAAATCCATATGAGCATTTCCACAGCTGTAATGCGCAGGAGGCTACAGAGAGCACAGAGAGTTCCCCCAACGCGCTGAAGCAGCCATCCACGCCCTTATGAAGGGGAATGCAACAGACATGGGGCAAGGACTGCCCGCTCTTATATAACAAAAAAACGCGCTTTCCATTCCTAAGACTTTCCGTCCTTCGACAACTCAGGCAATTGCAAAACCACCGGACACCTGCAGATCCCTTACTGCTGCTAACTATCATTTTGCGCATTGACGCATATTCCAGCAATAACCCCACGAAGCGACACCAACAAACACATCAGAATGTAGCAGAGTTCTCCGAAACCACTGTGAGCTCCCCAAGCGTGGTTGGGAGAGCAAAGGCATATGGCCACAATTAACTTCACTTCACCTGCCGTCGATTTCCATATCGGGAATGACGGCATAACCTCGAACAACAACATTTCGAAACACATAAATGTACTGCCAGTACTTACTGCTATGTGGTATAGTACAGATATCCAGCACCTGTACGGCCCTGCGAACTGCAGGCCGATCATTGCCTTATTCCACGCTGGCATGTTATTGCAGGAATTTGCGCGAATTCCCCACATCACATAGCGCAATAGGAGAATATCTAGACAACTCCCGTACAGTCCACTTCACCCCAATGATGAATGGCAATAATGCGACGTAAGCCAGCCTGGAGATGGCAAGGAAAATCAGTCGTTGTCGTACATCGAGCGTCAGTAAACTTCACAGCATCTATTCCTGTCACATGGAAAAGGGGCTATAAATTAGCGGGCCCGCATCAGTCCCCACCGCGAGGGCTTGCCACTGTTGGGCTACTTTGGTTTCGGCGCCGCAACCACCAAGGCGGCACAGGGTGCCCCCCATAACAGTCCCACTATCACCATCGTCATTCACGCAAACGAGCTTAATGGCACCGCACTAACGGCAGCAAGTCATAAGAAACGACAGTGCGACAACGAGCTTTGCCACAACCAACCAACCAACACACACACACACACCACACACACACACACACCACACACACACACACACACCTACTGCCTGGACGCGCGTATCAACAGCGCCGCTTATACCATGATTACGAAATGTCGTAAACAAAGGGCCTCCGTACAAATCAATGTTTTTATAGATCGCCGGCTGCGGCAAGCCCTTTACTACAGTCTCTATAACAAATTTACCCCCGCGACGCTGTCAAACTCGCGCCACCGACGGTAAATTCAGTTTAATCGAGAATTACATAACCGATTGCCCCAGCATATCGCCAGCCACCGCTCTTACTAACCCTGGGCACGCCTGCAACAAGCCCTAAGGCGCTACCACGAGGCGCCACAAACTTCAGGCCGAACATACTCCTCAATCGTCACCTGTGTTTCTACCCGCGGCTGAAAGCATGAAAACACACCTCCATTTAATTCGATAGCCTGGCCTTGATGAGTCTGATGAGCCGGGCGCATCAGCACTGTGAGGCGAGGCTCCGGCCTCGGGCTCTGGCCAAAGAAATCCTGCCAGTGCAGGGCTTAGGGTTTCGGGAAACCGCACCTTCCGTGAACGCCACGTCGAAAATACGATGCGAAACACGCGCGCCAGTTGTCGCCAGTGGCCGGTCGCCAAGCAAAATGTCGATATGCATCTGCGAGAGTGGGGTTGCCTACTAGACCCCCGTTGCGGTGGCGACCGTGGGCGACTTGCCGGTCGCCGAGCCTGCCGAGGCACGGCGGGCGGCCGCGGCGGAGCGCGCGGCGCGCACAATCGCCTTGACATGACCCACTGTGTCGACTTCCGCCGGCACGTGGCTCAGCAGCGCGCTCTGCCTCGCCGCATCGGCCTTGAGCTTGGCCAGGTGCGGCCACAGCACAAAAACGATGTAAACAGCGAACAGCAAGATGGTCGCGACCAGCAGAATCTACAACACCAGATCAAGGGATCGGCAGGGAGGCACTCGGCAATGGGTTCACAGCCAGGCCTTCACGGTCGATCACAAAGCAATTGCAGCCGTGGGGCCAACACCCCGCAGTCGTACGTACTGTTGCTGGAGCCAGGGCGAAGGAGGATAAACCGGCCTGATAAACCGCGAGCGTTGCAGCTGCACAGCGGCCACATGGGGGACGGACGACTCCCCCGCTGTCCATTCGTCAAGAAAAGCCGTCACGTAGCCGGTCCTTGCAAACCCACCAACCCACCGTTACCTGCCCGCCGGCGACTGGACCGCCCTCCCTCTCCCGCCCTCCCTCGCCCGCCCTCCCTCTCCCGCCCTCCCTCCCCCTGTTCCCCTTTCCCTCTCCCAGCGGCCTTCCTCACCGTGTGCAACGTGGTGACCTGCCGCCAAGGAGCGGCGGCAGCCAAGAAGATGAGAAAGAGGAAAATACAGCGGCCGCGCATGGCGAAACAGCAGAGTGGTGACGGGCAAAACAGAGAGGCGGCGAGAGGCTGTAAGGCTAAGGACACAGCAATTGCGAGAAAGAGGACGGGAAGTAGGAAACAGACCGGGCAATTGTTTTATCCCAGGACTATACCCTACGTGCATGCAGGAAACGATGAATGAATGGTGAATGGATGCGGCGGCGAGTACGGCGGCCATGTGAGGCCCACGTACAGAGCATTCGGCTGCGGCCCCGTTCCTGGAAGCTGGCGCATGTCCTTAGACGGATATCAATCTGATCAGTCTGTCAGTCTGTCTGTCACTCACAGAGTTGTATTTGGAGATGGAGTAGTCCACAAATAACTGGGCTGCCTGCTGTAGCCCTTCGTACAGGTCAAACGTGCCAACGTTGTACATGAACGTCCACCTGTACAACAACACGGTGTAAGACAAGTAGTAAGGCATGGCTACTGCGCACTGTAAACAAGTCAACTCTTTTTACTGCGCATTTACTCGTGCGACATGCATGGCGAATGGTAAAAGATTTGACGTGGCGGCCGTACAGCTGTACAAATGTACGGTTGTAAGTTGTTACCTGGTGCCATTGTACGCCACATCCTCATCAGCATCGCTGATCAGCAGCTCCATCTCCATAATCATTCGCCGTACCATCACGTCCAACCCGTTGTGCGTCACCTGTCGTACACATGTCGTACAGGCCGGGCACAACAGAAGAAACGCGAGAGCCTTGTCCAACCAAGAGACCTGATCTCGACCACAACGGGGACATTATCCTACCTGCAGCACGCAAGCCTTCTCCAAGCTTTTTACTTTGTTACCTAATCGGCCCAAGGACCGCGCCGCCACACCACTGATGCGTTCCATCCAAACAAACCAACCCAAATCAAGTCAACGCTCCCAGCCGTTCCTTCGAGCTCCCTCCTTCAACTTTCCCCAACCCTTAAAGACCATCGCTCCAAAGTCCCCCCAGTAAAGCGGCTTAATATGTGGTGGACGTGTTGTGTACGTACTGTGCGCGATAAAACAGCTGCACGGGCTGCAAGGGTCATTCATTCACCATCATCCGCAAACGCGCCGCCTCCCTCCTCCAACCCAGCACATACCGCCGCTGCTCCCCTTCCCGACTCATCCTTGGCATCAGCTTCACTCGTTAGTGGTTCGCCTTCACGACTGCATCCGCCTGGGTGGGGGTGCCGCATCCCAAAGGCCACCAGAGCAGGTCCCACACCGAGCCCAGAAGCCCACTGAACCCCCGCTCGAGTAAAAACCCCGACCTATTCCCTTCTTCCTCCTCCTCCTCCTCCTCCTCCCCCTCCTCCCTTCTCCTAGTCGACAAAACCGCCTAGGGGATTCTATCGGGCTCCCACCTCATAGTACGGCGAGCCGACCTTCGCGCACAAGCTCTGGTTGAAGCGGAAGCAGCGTTTGGTTTTGAAGAAGGCTTCAGCAAAGGCGGAGGATGCAAAAGTGCTGGGGGGTACAGCGTGAGTGAACACGCTGTTGACCTGGCGGGGGGGAGGATTGGCAGGGCAGGGCAGGGCAGGGGAGGAAAGGTGGGGGCCGGGGAGAGGGAGAGGGATAACTACTTGGTTACAAGGGGAAACCCTTTGGTTGTCCCCTTTGGTTTACCCTTTTTGTTCATCCCCTTTAGATCCCCTTTAGGGGATGAGCCGAAGGGGCAACCAAAGGGAACTAAAGGGGTTCCCTTTCGGGGAAGAACCCCAAAGTCTTCCCTTCTTACCCGTAGGGGAGTTCCTCCGCTTCGTCTACTTTGCATTTCGTTTGCAAAATCCAAAAAGACGGATCCACTGCCGACTTTCAAAGTCCCTGCAACTGTGGAGAAGGACCCAACCCGCACCGCCTTGGCGCCCCTTTCAACCCCCACCCCCACCCCCCTATTCACCTGCGACGCCGCCGTACCACCGTACATCAGCGCGTCGTACTCGTTGGCAAACAGGCGCACCTCCGTGCGCAGCATATCACGCCACAGCGCCCGCGATGCGGTGTCGTCTTGCGTCAGAAACGAGAAGCCCACCGCCCTGACGCGTGTGTATCGGTACACCACATGGCACGCCATGTTGAGGGTGGCGAGAGGGCCCTGCATACCGGACAGGCTGAGGATGCTGGCCGTGTAGATCGCCAGCACGCCCGCAAACCACAGCACGGGTAGGAGCTGGAAAAGCGGGACGGCACCGGTGGAAACACCGAGGAGGGGCCGAGCGGGGCGGGAAGGGGCGAAGTGTCATGTGAGGTGCACATGCACACATACACATACATACACACATACACATACATACACATGCACTCCTGAAGTGGCAAGCCCGGGACCCAACACCACTACTTGCTTGTAACTCAGGAAGGCCCGAGGGCGGGGCTTGGAGCGGGCGTTTGGAGGTGTGTTGCACAGCAATGCTGCCGAATGCAGAAATGTAGGGCTCCAACAGACCAATAAAACATGGAGATGAGACTCCATGATGGCGGCAGTGACGATGGCTAACAAGGTCGGAGTTTGGATGTCCTTGTCATGGATACAGAACAGCAATGGCGGAGCCGCCCTTACCCACCGAACCAACCAAAGATCCAACATAAAAAACAGTCTCACTCAGCCAGCCACTAAGCCAGCCAACCGCGCTCCAAAACCCATTAAAGATTCCCCCAAGAAACCCATAAAACCCCGCGCACCATAAACCGGACGTCCCGCCACTTGGACAGAACCAGCGCCTTGCCGTTGATGTATTGAGTGCCGGCGCCAGCCACGGTCCACCGGGCCTTATGGGAGCGGCTGGCCGTGGTGAAGCGCCCCGTTCGGCCGCCGGCAGCGGCGGTAGCCGTAGCCGAAGTCATGGCAGAGACGGTGGTGCTCACGGCAGTCTGTGTGGCGGGGCCTTCCAATGCCAGCAACTCCGTGTCCTGAAAATCGGTGTGTGAGTGTTGGTGCGTGTATAAAAAAAGGGAGGGAGAGAGGACGGAACGGCAAGTGGGTTGCGGGAGGGAGGGGTGGATAGATGGCCTCAGGATTTGGGCATGTATTAGCAAACGCAGACGTCATCTCCTAGAGCCTACCGCCAACCATGGTTTAGAACAAACTAGTCCATTACGACCATTTGGAAGCCGATTCGCTATCTTTTTCACGAATTTCCCCCCCCCTCCCGCCCTCCTTCCCCCAAAGCCGCAGGGGCGGCTTTCTTCTCCCCCTTCATCATCGCGGTCCATACTCACCTCTCCCCCGCCATCGCCGGATGCCGCAGCCTCCAACAGCAGAGACCGCCGCCGCCGCCCACCTATTCCGCCGCCTCCTACTCCTCTTGCTCCGGCGGCCGCCGCTGACTTCGCTGCTGCTGCTGCTACTGCTGCTGTTCCGCCGTTCCGTCTGTCGGGTGTTTCGCCACCCTCACCACCACCCGTGCCGCCGCTCTGTTCACTCCCGTCCCGCTGGACTGCCTCGGCTGTATCACCCCTATTACCAGCATCACAACCCCTACCGCCTCCGCCAGTACGAGCAACGGGAGATGGCGGCATCAGGCGCACTCCTCCGCCAGTCCGGTCGCCGCCGCCAGCACCCCCCTCCTTGCCGCCGCCGCCGCTGCCGTCGCCGCTGCCGTTGTCCTTCTTGCTGAACCCCGCAGCTGTGCCGTCGTCGCCGCCGCCACCACCCTGTTCCTGCTCGCCTCCGTCTTTGGCGCTGGCATCATCATCTAGCTCGTCGTCACTCTCGTCCAAAACCTGCGGAAAGAGAAATACGGCACACAAGTAAGAAGGTCAACACTAAAGGAGGGTCTGCGAGTGCAAAGGGGCAGAAAGCGGGGGTCGGAGGTGGCGGAGCCCTAGGGTCGCCCTAACCTAGATCGCTAGGTCGCTAGGTCGCCCTAGCCTTCCTATTCGATTACTCCGCCTCGCCGCCCCTTGGCCAACCGCGAGGCCGCACCGTAAGCCCCATGCACCTCATGCCGTCGAAACGCGCCTTACATTAGCCAGCCAATCAGCCAGCTAGCCATCTAGCTCACCCAGCATCCCTCCCGCCCTTCCCCCCTCCCTCCCTCATCCCTCCCTCCCTCATCCCCCTGGCCATCTCATCTTGGCCCCCAGTTCCAATACCCCGCTCACCTTCACCTCCCTGCTGCCCATCTGCCGCAGCACCGGTCCCGGCAGCCCCACCATGGACAACATGCCCATCAGTCGGGCCCTCTCCAGGCGGTGCATCAACAACCACTCGTAGCCCAGACAGGACAGCTGCACCACCAACACCTCCACCACCAACACGATGATGAGGACTGGGAGTTCGAGTTCGAGTTCGAAGAAGAAGGGATATCGCCGAGAGGTGAGGAAAGGTCGGGTGCGCGACCGCCGCCACGAAGCGCGGAATCACGACGTGGTACGACAGGTACGACACGCGGATCAAAATGAGGACACGATGAGGTACGGATTCCATTTGGTTCGGTATCGCGCCGGATTCGCCGGAAGGGTGGGGACGGGGGTAGAGACGGGAGAGGGGGAAAGTAAGGGCGCGGGGAGGGTTACAAGAAGGGGGAGGGAAGCGGAAAGAAGAGGTGGATGGATGTCAGCCAGTAGGGGTCTTGCTGAAAAGTGGGCAATCTGGGCGGGAAGAGGGGGGAAGTAGAAGATGAGGGAGGAAAACAAGACGCGAGGGATGTGAGTGAGTGCGTGGGTGAGGACGTGACGTACATCTTGAGGGAGATGGAAGACGACGCGGCGGAGGAATTGTCGGAAGGCGGGCGCGCGGCCAGCCAGGAGAGAAAGCGTGGTCAGCAGTAGGAGTAGGTAAGCAGATGTTACAGATGGGGCCGCACCGGCCGGGAAATACACACAAACCGACACACCTGTCTTCAGGTTGTCCAGGGATGCCCAGGCCGCCGCCATAAGCTCGTCCAAGGAGGTGGCGTACCCAACGAACAACGGTCCCAGACCGTTGGTTACCATAAACTGATACACGGGGTGAAATCTGCGAAAGGGTCGCACAAGTCGTATATAGCTGAGACCACGAAAATCCGTCGTGCCTGGCGCTTCCCCCTTCATCCCTGTCCTCCCCGCTCTGGCGCTATCCTCTCCCTTCCCTATCTGCTGCCCCCCCAATCCTCCCTCCAGCTAGCACATTCTCTGACAGCAGAAGAATCCGCTGTATAACCTCTCCTAAGGACGTCTCCCAACATACTTCATCCAAAATTTCAGTACCTATTCCGTCAACCTATCCGTCCGCCCACTATAACCTACCCCAGGCGCTGCCTCTCCTCTTCCAAAAGCCCTTCCGGACCGCGTCTAAGTCGGTGGCTTCTCTTTACCTGATCCCCTCCCTCCCCTTTTTCCCTTCCGCTACCCTCCTTCATCCTTTCGCTGCGCATCTTCCCCAATCCAAAGAAACCTACTTGAACTCGTCACGCAGTTTGGGCATCCAGTAGAGCGCTTCTCGCGATGCGGCGATGAAACGGTTGCCCAACTGCCACACCCCAGTCTTCTGAGCCAGGACTCGCGGAGGCTGCGTGTCCATGTACACGTCGTACTCCCATTGCGGGTTCGTCCAAATGCCGTACACCCTGGAGCTAGGAGCCGTCACCTTGGAGGTGGAAAACCCCAGGTACACCCCTGGGGCCCGGGAGAGGGCCGGGGGAGGGGGGTTGGAGGAGGAACATTATAAGCATATTGGGAAGAAGGAGGCAAGGGGTTGGATTGGGGGGTCTTACCCCTTTACACGGCAGGGGGCACGAGGTGATAGTGCTGATGGAGGAGTTGAGATGGGAGGGAAGGAGGGAAGGAGGCCGGGAGGGGAGCAGAAGCAGGGGGAAAGACGGACCACAGACGAGTAATGCTGATACCAGAGATAGAAAGATACTCCAAGCGCAGGGGGAAATGAAAACGGGCAAATACGGGATGCGGGACGCTAGCATATATGCAAACGGCCCTCTCGATTCCCAGTTCCTTTTGCTCCTCACAAACCCCCCTCCTTCCCGCGCGCTGTTCCACCTCATCCAGCTGGGTTACCAGGCTGGAGTCCCGAGTCCTCATCTAGCCATAATACTGGGGTGTTGCTTCTGTTTGCGGCGGTATCTCCCCTCCCCTTTCCGCGCCCCGCCACTGATGCCCCCTCCCTCTCTCCACTCCGGCATCCTAATCCTGAAACCCTTGGTACCCACCCCCATACCCTGGTGATCCTGCTCCAACGTCGTGACGCTCGCCTACGAGGGAACACCAACAACAACATAACGAACATAAATATAACAATCAACAGCAGCACCGGCATCAGCAGGCACCGGCATCAGCAGCGGTAAAAGGGTTACAACGGACACAGCACCAACCGACAGGCAGGGTCACAGTCTTAGCGCGCCCAACGAAGAATGGGGGGCTGCCAGGTCTTTTCCTCTACAACCCCTGTTCTCCGGGGCTCCCCTAATACACATCACATACGGAAAACCCCCACCAGGGACACCACGCCCCGCCAGCCAACCGCTGCTCTTCTTGCTTGATCCCTATCCGGCCCTCATCGGGCCCTCATCGCTTGCTTGGCCCTTGATTGCCCGCCGTGTGGCACCTGCAGGGTTCCCCCACGCAACCCACCACCATGTTGTTCAGATGCACGCTCAGCGGCGGCGTGCAGGCCGACACCTTGGCCGTGTTGTTGGCCCTCTCGCAAAAGGTGCCGATGAGGATGCGCACCACCAGCAGGGAGGCGCGGTCCATGGCCCTGGCTTGACGGTGAACCATGTACACGCCGCTGCGGGGACGGCGGGTTCGGGGATGGGATGGGATGGGGCGGGATGGCATCTAGGGAAAGGCAGAAGCCAACCTGTTGTTAAGAGACGTTCCATGCGGTCAATGATCCGCAGCCGCCGCTCCCCTTCCCACCGGATTGTCTCCTCCCTACCTCCCACCTCCCGCCAAAGCCCCCCTTTCCACCGCCCCCTCACTTACGTGTGCTCTTTACTCACGACCTTGGTCACCACCACATAGCAGGCGATATGGGTCGCCAACATGAGCGCCAGCAGGCAGTAGCTGTGCAACCGCAACCGCTCCAGGGGCGCCATCAGCAAAGGGCCCATCAGCAGCTTCTGCAGCGACTTGAGCAGCTTGCCGCGCCGCGCGTCAACGACCACATCAATCGCCGACTGGTTGTCAGTGAGACCTGATCAGTAGGAAATGGAGGATTGGGGTTTTGGGGCGGAAGGGAATTGTTCGGCATCGGAAAGGTAGGGAGCCCCGAGGGAAAAGGGCTGGAAGGTGGAAGATGGGGCGAGAGGAGAGGATGGCTGGAACCATGTGCCGTGGGGACATGGCGGGGGGGGGGGGTAAGGCCGACGGCCGGAAGGCGAAGAGGTAGTTTGCTGGTTTTGGGGAGGGATGGAGATTGTGATGGGACACGGAGGTGGTAGGATTGAGGCCCAAACTTGCATTCTGCGTACCAGAAATAATAATCAAGGATGGTTCCAGACGAGTGACTTAAGTCACAGCGGGCCTTTAAGCGAGCTTTCCTCTAGGGCAATCACCCCTTCGCATGGATGGCTGCAAGCTTCAGGAGCTCGTACTGCTTAAACAGACCCGAAGGCCACGGAACCGCCTCGATCTGATAAAGAAAACAAGGTATGACATCCCGTCGGCTGGCCAAAAGTGCGATAGCCCCTACGAGACAGCACCCAGAGGTAACTGGGCCCGGAAACGCGCACTGACCTAAACCCAAAACAAAAAAAATCAAAAACCGTAACACACTCACTGGTGACGCCGCTGGCTGCCTGGCTGCCATCCGCACTGGAATCTCCGCCGTCGCTGTTCCGCTCCCACTTATCCGCCGCCACGGTGGCGTCAAGTGTGCGGCCGCCGCCGCCGCCGCCGTCGCCGCCGCCACTTCCGCCGCCAAGGCCCTCGCCCTCGCCCTCGTCTGCGTCTACCACCGCGCCCAAGCGCAGCGGGTGTACATCCTAGAGGCCCATACCCCATACGCGGCGGGTAACGGCAGACGTCTGAGGAAATAGTTGAAGTGATAGGAGAGTGACATGGCGTGTGTTTGGCTGCCCTATCCACCCCCACGGCATGAGGCCATCTGCCTGCGTGCCAGGGCTTCCCCGGGGTAGGGGGGCTTCGGCAGTGCGCGCTGGCGGGTTGGGTGTCTGTAGAAATACAGATGGCAACGAAAACTGGGTCGAGTGGGTGACTGTGTGGGGCGCATGTGTGAGGTGTCAGCCCCTAGCGGGATGTGCGGGTGGGCTGGGACCCGCTTAGATGGCTGGGACTGGATGGATGGATGGATGGATGGATGGATGGATGGATGGATGGATGGATGGATGGATGGATGGATGGATGCCGGGTCTAATAAGAGGTTTAAAAGGCTGTGGCCCAGCTAGGGTGAAAGTACATCAGCCGCAATCCGTGGGAGAGATATGGACGTGGTGGGAAAGCAGCGTCGCAGCCAGTTCCACCACCCGGGCCCCCGATCCCAACACTTCACTCAGGCATGGTGTGCATCTTCCGGTGATGCATCATCAGCGTCCTGCACGTCCCGGGGACTATGAACACTCGCGGCACATGCACATGCCCCCCGCGCTTTGCATTTTGCATTTTGACGCTGGCGACGTTCCCTCCTACACCCTGCTCCCTACTTCCTACTTCCCACATCCACCCATGCGCCCACCTCGGGAACTGTAGGCAGTCTGCGGCTCTGAGCAATCACCAGCGTGTGTTTCAACGCTAAGGGATGGACAAGGGGATGGGTTACCAAGGCTGATGAGGAAGAAGGCTGCGACCCCGTCGCCGTGGTGGGCGACTTGGCGGCCGATGAGCCTTGCTCCTGAACACCAGCTGCTGCTCCTAGCTGCTGCTGCTGCTGCTGCTGTTCGCCTGGTTGCCCCACCGGCCCCACCACAGCCGCAGCCGCATGCCGTGTCGGCGTGTATACCACAGTATCTGGATCCGGATCTGGATCCGGTAAATCCAATGGAACGGAGACTATCATGGACCGCTTGCTGACGGTGCGGACCCACTGCGCCACGAACTCAGATTTGCTGGCTGTGCGTAGTGTTGCGTGGGGGGCCGTGGGGGTCCGCGAGGAGCGAGCGAGGAGCGAGCGAGGCGGAGCAAGGCGGTAAAGCCACATCAAGGGGTTCGTAGGGGAGTTAGGAGGATGAGGAGATCTCGCTCAAGGACAGATTGACCTCTCCTGCGGGAAGCAGTCTCCTCCATCTCCTCCGACAGACCAGGCCCTAATCTCCCTTCCCATCCCCTCCCCTCGCCCGCTCCTATTCTAGGCCTAGCAGCTCACGCACCCCCGGTGTGTGTGAGGGGAGAGATTAAGAATGGAACCCGGGAGGCTGTGGTGCGGGGGTGAGAGAGCAGGGGGTAGGAGGGAAAAAGGCATTGATGGAAAAATAACTCACAGGCTTTGCGCAGCATCTTGGCCTGGCCCTTGGCTTCAGCGTCGTCAGCGGCCCCGAAACCCGCGTAGTCAACGGGCTCGGTGCCGTGGCCGCCGGCGCCGTTGGCGGTGGTAGCGCCGCCGCCGCCGGCCTTGCCCCGGTTACCGTAGCTGCCATCTCCGTCGTCGCCATCGTTGCTACTGCTGCTGCCATCGCCATCGTTGCTACTGCTGCTGCTATCATCAACATCATCGTCCACTCTGTCTTCATCCTCCTCAAAGCCACGATCACCGCCACCATCACCATTCACGCCGCCGTCACCATCGCTGCCGTCGCCGCCACCCCTGGCGGCCGCCCGTCGGGATCCCGACCGCCGCGCACCTACCGCCGCCGCCGCCGCGGCCGCGGCCGCCGCTGCACGCACACCTCTCCGCCGCACCGTCGGAGTTACCCCATCCTTGTCACCGCTGGCACGCCTAGACACAGTTCTCTTAAAATGGTCATGGGTTGGCCCCGTCGCCGCCGCCTCCGCACCACCCCTACTACCAGCCCCTCCCTTCCCCGCCTCCGACCCCTCCAAATGAAGAACCCGCAGCAGGTCCGCGTGCGCACCCACATAAGTTGTGTCGGGATGCAGTACGGCATTCACCGTCTGCCGGCCCCCTGGAGCCAACGTCTGGACGCCCTGCAGCGCCAGTCAAATGTTTGTGACAAAGGCGGTTACTGAGGTCCGCAGGTTAGTTAGGGTCGGAGGAAAAAGGGTGTTGAAGCAAAATGTTGCGCGGATTAAGGCAGGGAGTATATGTATGCGGGGGCCCCACAGACTGCACACCATTTGCCTGTGGCCAAGTCGCCCGTAACCGTACAATATACCGTTGTACCTGTACGAGTATTCTCATGGTACCCATGTCGGGATGTGGCCCCAGGAAGGCCATTTGCGGGCTGACCAAAGCTCCATGATTCCTAGAGATCTTCAGGGCGGAGCGTTTGTGGCTTTTATGGGCCGAGTCCGAAATCTGCGCCCAGGTCTTGCGGTGTGGCAAGTCCAAGAACCTGTGCGAGCGGGGGGATAATAAGGCAAGGTTGGGGGCGCGATGGCGCGAGGTAGCTCTGTTGGTTAATGTTATATTAATACTCTATTGCAATGGTCCCCCATTGCAAAACGAGGGATACGTGTGTACATGTGGGCGCGTGGTATTGGTATCTCATGTTCTATAGGGGCTTAGGGAAAGGTAAGGGGGATATCAATGTGTAGGACCGTGTGTATTTGCATTTGCATAATTCGTGTACACATGATGAGAGATACAGACGAACAGTCCTCCCCGGAAAACCCGGGTTATCACCCTGGCGTGGGAGACACAGCCCAAGAAAGAGAAGAGCCGTCGCAAACTCAACAACCGGTCTCTCACACACCCAGAAACCGTCGGGTACCACCACCACCCTCCGCCACCAAGGCAGGCACATGCCCCTATACAACAATGCCACGCACTTGTGAAGGGGCTTCCGAAGCATGGCAGTAGATGGCAGCCCAACCATAAGGCCTGTCATGTAGCTGGCCTTCCGGATTTGCAGCTGCTCGTCCAACTCCACCATCCCAGTCAGAAGATCCCGCCGCCACAGCGTCAGCTTGATGTGCACATTGCCGCCGCCGCCGCCACCGCCGCCGGCCTCGCCGCCTGCCGCCGCCGCCGCTGTTGCCTTCGCGGCGGCGGCGCCGCCGCTGATCCCCAGGATGTCATCTTCACCTCCCAGCAGGAGCTTCTGCCATCTTTTGCTGCCGGTGCCGCCGCCAGCTTCGGCGTTGTCCTCCGTCGTATCGTCCAGAAGCTCCACCTACAAGCGTTTCGGTGGTTTAGGGTTTAGTTAACATTTAGGTAGTTGTTAGCTGGTAGTTGGTAGTTCACGTCCGGAGATCTCTCTTCACCAATCCTATCCCCTTCCAAATCCCCCGTATCCACACACACACACACACACACCTCCCCGCCGCCACCCCACACAAAGCCCGGAGACTTCCCACTCGAACTTCCCCTCTCCTCACACGAACCATACACGGCCCCTACGGAGCACATGTGTGTGTGCGTGCGTGCGTGCGTTTATTATGTCGACCGCACGATTGACACACTGCCCGCGCGTGTGCTGGCGGGTGGGTGGGTGAGTGAGCTGATGTGGTTTCACGCACCTGCAGACATGCGGATATGGAACCTGCTCCGGGCTTGCGTCGCATGCTGGGCAGCGCCGCAGCCAGGGGCGGCATTTTGCTGAGGTCCTCGCTGGAGGCGGGGGAGTGAACTCGAACGCGCCAGGAGGTGCCTGGTGGATGGCGTAACGGCGGTAACGGCGGAAATGGGAGTAAAGAGGGTGGTGGTGGCGGTGGAGGTGGTAATGGCGGTCTTCGGAGGAGAAAGGGCGAAAACACAGTGAGAAGAATTAGAAAATCCTGCAAAATGCAAAAACCTCATCACTGCCAAAGTCCACAGCACCACGAGGCCGCCCACCCCCCCACCCAGCCACCTACCCAGCTACAACACCCCCCACCCCCCCATCCAGCCATAACATCCCCCACCCACCGGGCATCTCCTGCTCCCGGTCCACCAGCGCCAGCACCAGCAGCTGCAGCTGAGACTCGCCCGCGCGCCTCCGCCACTGCCCATGGACACGTGCACGGCGATGTAGTGGCCAGCGGTGCGACAGGAAATTAGAACCAGACATTTGGAACGCCGGAACGGTGGAATAGGAGGAAAGCATGAAAACGTGGGTAGCGATGAGAGAGGGAGGAGGGGTAGGACGGGCGTTCATAGCATTATACAGAGAACACGTTTTCCACTCCTCCTTCCCACACCCTTTGGTCACCTCACCCACTCCAATATACTCAAGAGGAAAAAACTCAGGAATCGCACGGGAAGTCCTAGTTCCCCTTTCTAGAAGTGTCATGTATACACACACATACATACAAACAAACAAAGGTGCAAACCAGAACTTACGTCTCCAAACACGTCGATGCAGTCGCACAGGTTACGTCCCAACAGCTCCAGGGCGGGGAAGCCGAACAGCGAAGAGTCGGGTCGCGAGACGCTCTGCACGCGGCCCGAAAAGTCCGCCATTACCACCAGCCGCTTCTCCTCTAAAAGCTCATCCACGTGCACCCTCTCAACCTGGCGGTGATGTTCGTGGGCAAGGAGGGATCCAGGGAGGGGTCCAGGGAGGAGTAAATTTCCAAAGCACGTCATGCGCAGACAGACTTCATGCAAGACCTACTCTGCTTTATCTGTTCTCTCTTTTCATGAGGGTTTGTTACCTACCCCGTGCGTCAAATCCGCCCCAAATTCCAAGGAAGGAGGGCTGAGCGAGCGGGAGAACCGCATGAGCACTCGCCGGTCGCCGCGCCCATTCGGCCCACAGTGTGCTCCGAAATCAACGGAAACCATGGGCGCATGATCCACAACGGTCCTCCCCAGCTCCTCCCCCTCTTCATGAGTTTTCCTTTGTCCCATGTTTGGATCGGCTCCACCTCTCTCCTACAGCCTCCACCATCTCAAACAAATTCTAAGTTAAAACCAGCACCCTCGCTCGTCTTTCCACCAGTAACCCCCCTCTTCGTCACTGAGCCCAGTGAAAGCATGTCCGCCGCCACTCACGTAAGCTTCCGACCGTACGTGCGCCGATCGCCAAAGATAATACTCATATATGCCGTACCTGCACCACGTACAGTGACATGCCCACGTCGCCGGCGGCTGGAGACACCTTGATTCGTACAGGTACGGCAACCCCCGCGTCATTCAGCAGGTGTACGACACGTCCCGAGCGGCAGCTGGTGACGCTGGGCGTGTGGGGCGGATCCTGAAATGGGGCCCGAAACGAGGAGGGGGAGGGGGAGGGGTTCTCAGGGGGAAGCGCGCTGAACCCCGGCGGCAGCGGCGCCATCCCGGCACGAGAGGGAAGGCGAAAACGAGGAAAGTCACAGCCCCCGAAAGACACAAAACCGCGAGTGGGCCCCCAAGAGGCCTGGCATGTAGGACGGGCGAAGGAAAGGGGCAAAAGGACGCCCAAAGTCGCATTTCATGGTGCCAGCAATGCCACTTCAAAAAGCAGCCCACCGCACACGGCACCCCGCACACACACGCAACCATACCGCTACGCCGATACCCATATCCCCCAAACCCCCAGCCCCACCCTGAGCCACTTCGCGTGCAGTGTATTGTACGGCGGCTGTAGCAGCTGGTCGAGCCTCATGGTGGCCAGCTTCCTCATGGGGTAGTTGAGCAGTGTGGACAGCCCCAGGGACGCGAACCTCAGGCGCATGTGGGTGTCCACCACCAGCAGGTTGCCCTCGCGGCCGTCGGCGCGGCGGCAGCTGAGCGCCATGATGCGCTGGCCGTCAGTACCTACCGAGGCGGGCGACCAGTGGGCAATATGTCGAAGTGAAGGGAAAGGGGGTCTTGGGGTTAAGGTTAGGAAGGAAAGACCAAGGTGAAAGTGACGGACAGATATCGGCACAGTGACAGCAAATTTGCGTCACATACATACAGATTTCGTCGGCTTGTTTACAGTTTGTGAGGTTTTGAATATGCGCAATGCCCGGGAAGGAGGCTGAAAAGAGAACAGAAAACTCACTTTCGCTCGCTCACTCACTCACTCACGCGTACGCACATACAACAATCTACACACTCACACACAGATGACCAATGTATGTGCAGATAGGTACAAATAGAATCGCAAGAAGCTAGCATGCAAGCTCAGGGCTCCTCCGCCGCTCTTCGCCCCCTTCCGCCCAACCCCACACCATGCAGCCCTATATCTGCTGCTCATGCAAACGACATTCTCCCGTCCCCCCATCATGCTGCCTCCCCCACGGACTCCCTGTACACCCCTCCCCCCCCCCCCCGTGTCTCACCCGATAGCCCCACCACCACCTCCACCGCCACGGGGTCCAGGAAGCGGTGCCGCAGCAGCAGCTCGCACCGCACCACGCCCGACACCAGCTCCTGAGCGGAGGCAGCTCGGAACCGCTCCAACAGGGCAGACACCTCAGAGTCGGGGTTGGCGCAGAGGGAAGCAAGCGAACGACCCACCTGGGGGTTGCGGAGCCAAGGTAGGGGGAAGAGCGTGTATGTGTGTGTGTGTGCGTTGGTACGGGAGGGTGGCCGGCGCGGCAGAGTAATGTGGTAGGTTGGAGGGGCGTGTGTGTGTGTGTGTGTGTGTGTGTGTGTGTGTGTGTGTGTGTGTGTGTGTGTGTGTGTGTGTGTGTGTGTGTGTGTGTGTGTGTGTGTGTGTGTGTGTGTGTGTGTGTGTGTGTGTGTGTGTGTGTGTGTGTGTGTGTGTGTGTGTGTGTGTGTGTGTGTGTGTGTGTGTGTGTGTGTGTGTGTGTGTGTGTGTGTGTGTGTTTTGAAGTTGCCACCGGGGGTTTGGGGGCCGCCAGGTAAGGTGATCTAGCTCAATCAGCGCTGCCGGCATCAACTTCACCCCCCTCCTCCCGTCCGTCCCCTACGGTTTAGAAATCTCTCTCTCTCCCCCCCACCCCCGCACCTCCCAATTATCTTCTGACCCACCGACCCACCAGGTCGTTCTCCATGAGGCCGCACAGCGAGGCGAACTGCTGGTCACCGCACAGAAATGTGCCGTTGGGCGCCAACCAGGCCCGCACTCGCAACGTGCTGGGCGGCAGCGGCCGCAAAACACCAAGAAAAACACTACAGGGCGGGGGGTGCGGGGTGGTTTCGGAGGGTTTAGGTAAGGTTGGAAAATGGCTGAATCCACGTGGGGGGTTTCAAAGGTTTCCTGGAGATCTGGACATGGATGGAGGTGTCGGGGGAAGGGGCGAGTGTGACCCAGGGATAGCGGTGCACGGGGTGTTGTACGTATGGCGTGTGTATGTATGTGTGTGTATATATGGGGCCCGGGGATAATAAGACGGATAAGGCGGATACGGCACCATCCCCACACCACAATCACACTCCATTTCCGCATCCGCACCTGTCCGACCCGCTTCCGCTCATCTTTGTGACGCACAAATCCACCGGGAAGACGTAGCGGTCCTGAAGGGGGGGAATGCGCCGGGACATGTACGGGTGAGATGGTAGAAGCTTTTCAGGCAGGTAGAGCTAGACGGAGGTGGCGGGCAGGCGCGCAGGCAGGCAACCGAACCCCCTACCATTACCCGCCTACCTTGTGCAGCCCCACCACCTCCCTCACGGCATCCAGAATGTGCGGCTCCCCCGTGGCGACGTAGCGGCTCAAGTATGAGGAGTGGCGCTGGCTGAAGGGCTGCGGCATCAGCAGATTCACGTTTGCGCCCTCCAACTCCGCCTTGCTGTAACCGAACACGGATTGAACGACCTGGGGGGGAAGGGGGGAGGGGGGAGGGGGGGTGGAGGAGGAGGAGGCGAAGGCGCGGGTTTGGGGGAAGACGAACCACCACGAACGAGTGAAGCTGACACGCCAAGGATTGATGCGGGATTGGGGGGAGGAGAGGAAAGACGGTAGGTGGGGGGTGGGTGGGTTTGGGAATTTGGGTCTGGTTCGTTTGTGGGGTTGGGGGTTTTGCAGGGATTCACCAGTTTCAGAGGAAGGAGACATGGAGCTCGGACCGGAGGCAAAGGGATTCGAAGGGGTGGGAGTTCTCGGGGGGCGGGAGAACGGGTATTTCGACAAATTCTATCCAACCAAGACATGTCGTCGTACACTTTACGACGTACGGATATGGTGGTCTAACTGTTTTTGTGATTCGTACCTGGCTGACCATCATAATGGTCCCCTCAGCATTGATCACCACCACCGCATCGTCCAAAAGCGACAACGACGTCAAAAAGTCGGGTTTCTCGGTCGCCTGCTGTATGGCACTGAGGTCCAAAGACATGATCGCGTCGGCGCCGCCGCAGCGCGCCGCCTCGGCGTACACACGCGCCGCCGCCGGCGCGTCGTGCCGTACATCCTCCAAAAATTTGCCGTAGCACCGCAGCAGCTTGCCGTTGGTGGGGTACCGCTCAAGCACCCTGTTGCGGGGGGGGGGGAGAAACGGCCCGGGGGGGAAGGGTCGGGGGGAAACACGGGTGCGGGTTTTTCGTGTCTTGGGAGGTTTCCTATCAAGGGTTTTACATCCCTCCTATCACATGAGGAGACGGGAGCACATGCAACGCTTAAACTCGCACGCAAACTGCGGATGTCCAGGCGGCCAAGCATGCAAACAGTGCGGCAGGGGAGGTGGGAATGGGGGGTACATCCGGGACCACGGGAATACGTGTGTGTGTGTGTGTGTGTGTGTTTTCAGCGGTGTATTTACCGACGTCGCCTCCCGACTCACTTCTTATACACCTGATGGGCCCGCCCCGTGGCCGCCTCCAGCTGGTCCAGCAGCGCGTCAATGGTCGCCACTCGCAAGCTGGTGCGCAGGCAGGTGCGCCACAGCTCAAGCTCCAGAGCCAACACGTCCCTATGAACTCGCAGTACGGCCCTTTGCAAGGAAGGAGGAGGGGGGGGAAGACGAACCACACACGATTGAAGCTGCTGCCAGGGAGGAGGGGGGGGAAATATGAAAACACAAGTGGACTTGGACGTGTTGTAGGTAACTGGGGTAGGGGAGGAGGAAGGGGGACAGGGAAGGGGGAGAGGCCACTACGCGAGCTGCCAACCCGAGCTGCACTGCCCAAAAGGTATCTCCTTCCCGCCTCACCAACAACCACATTTCCTCCTCCCAACCCACGTTTCCCCTCAGCAATGCGTCCCTGAGCTCCACCATATATGAGGCACCGTGTTTTTCATGGCCCCAATCAAGCTCCTCCCCCTAATCCCCAACCCCACATTTCCACTGCCACAACCTCACACAGCTCACACAGCTACACGGCCTGTAGGGGCTGGGATGTAAACGGGCCCGCAGTGCTTACTTGAAGTTCCTCCGAAACTCGATATAGGCTTGCAAATCCATGCCGCCATCCTGGCTGTCCTTGAGACGCTTGCTAGACTCCAAGGTGCAGTATATCTGTACGGCGGTACGGCACGTAGGTTAGGTATTGTCAGAACGGTGCCGTACCAACGAAGCCCACTGGGTCCACCCGCTCAGGTGCATGGGTGGCAAGCTCCAAGCGCAACCTGTGTGCCGTGTGCCGCATATGTGTGTGCGTGTTTTTTTCTTTGTTTAATGTTACACATCGATCCGGCCTTTGCGTGTGTCTGTGTGTGTGTGTGTGTGTGCGTGTGTGTGTGTGTGTGTGTGTCTGTGTGTCTGTGTGTCTGTGTGTCTGTGTGTCTGTGTGTCTGTGTGTCTGTGTGTGTGTGTCTGTGTCTGTGTGTCTGTGTCTGTGTCTGTGTGTGTGTGTGTGTGTCTGTGTGTCTGTGTGTGTCTGTGTGTGTGTGTGTGTGTCTGTGTGTGTGTGTGTGTGTGTGTCTGTGTGTCTGTGTGTCTGTGTGTGTATGTGTCTGTGTGTGTGTGTCTGTGTGTGTGTCTGTGTGTGTATAATTAAGCTGAGACCATCTTCTGGGGCAAACGGAGACCCGGGTGTGAGATGGCTGGGTGGGTTCCGGCAAAACCACCATCCGCCAGCAACCAGAAAAATGGCGGGATTTCAAAACTTCCCCCATTCCCCCAGCCGCCTCATCTCCACCCCTTCTGGAAGAATAATTTAATCCGTGCAAAAGAATATTCCGTGCAAAAGAATAATCCGTGCAACTCCCCGAATGGACTCCCCCATACCCCCTCTGTGTCCCACCCACCGACCTGGTACCTCTCCACCAGGGAGGGCCCGTGCTTGGCCGCCAGCTGCAGCTGTGTACGAGCAGCGGGACCGTCTTTCCGTACACTCAAGAGATAGTTCGCGTACATCACGTTGAGGAAGGGCGAGTTGGGGAAGGTCAGCATGCCGGCCTGCAGCGGCAAGGCCAAGCACGCACGGCAGGAGGAGCAGGGCCAGGGTAGGGGTGTGTTGGCAGGTCGCGCAGGTGTTGACAAGCATAGAGCGTGTGTGCGCGGGGGAGGAAAATGGAACCCCTTCCATCTTTCATACACCTCCCACCTCTCATATTATTCTTTTCACGTCACGCGACTCACCCTGATAACTGCGTCACCAAGAGCCGCCGCGTCCTCATCTACGTCGCCGTCGCGATCGAAGCGCCTCATCACCCGCGACAACAACTCTACCTCGTGGACGTGCGCAAAGCGATGCAGCTTCTGTACTCGTACATCTCGAAAACTGGGAAGCTCTTCAAACTTACGTGCCGGCCGCATAGCCCACCACGCGTGCGCCAAGCATACCACAATGCCGCCCACCAGTACGGGAAAGATGCCGTACAATACGTACTGCGCGTGTACATCAGCACACAGGGATAGGAAGAGGAGCAAGGAGCAAGGTGAGAGGCGCGAGGAGTTGTGGAGGGTATATGTAAGAATGTTTGTGAGGGGAGGAGCACAGGGCAAAGGTATGAGGGGTCGGGAAGAAAAAAGGCACGAGGGAAGAGGTACGATGGCAAGCGCATGTACTGTAGCTTTAAGGTACGGCGCTTCACCATCTCGGTGGCTCACCAGCGCGACATCATCAAGCTGTAGCAACGTGCCACCCTCCTTCTCTCCCTCCTTCCCCCCCACCCTTTGGATGGTCAACCCCCCTCAACCGCACGTCAAACGCCTCGACTTCCGCTCCTACCCCCTCACCCCCGCACCCCCACCAGGCTCACCAAAGTATACAACCGGCGCTGCTCCAGGGATTGGTCTTTTGCAAACACCAGTACGGCAAGTAGTACACACGTGTACCACACGCAAATCCACATACTGCACCAAATCACGTTGACAGCCAAGCGGTAGAATGGAAGCTGCGAAGGGAGAGAGAGAGAGAGAGAGAGAGAATACAGATGGAAAAAGGGGACGGCACGGGCGATCATAACAAATTGCCGTGCAAGAGCCCACCGTACATTGTACGGCACTGGAATATACATGATGCACGGTTGCGGTGGGAACATCCCACCGTGAAACTTACGTAAGAAGCTCTTTGACAAATGGCGATAAGGAATCGCTTCCCTCTCTCTCCCAATTCCTTCTCAAGCAGACAACAAGCAGCGGCAATACCACCATCTCCGTACATGCCGTACAGGTATCGTACACACCTTACGAAAATTATACCAGCAGATAAACCCTACTGCCACCGCCATCAGCACCACTTGCACTCGCGGCCAGGCCTGCAGGTCATCCGCACAAACAATGAAAGCTGCCTTGGCCGCCAATATCTTGAGTCGCGAAGCCACGTCTGGTGAGGCCAGGTAGCCCTGTGACAGCGGGTTCAGGTCAGACGACGCCACTACCAGCAGCGCCGTCACACCCAGGTGTACGGCGGCCGTACACAGCGCCACCGACATGTGGAGCACGTGGGGCATCTGGAAGCACTCTGTCACAGCAGCCGTGGGGTTAGGTGGAGGGAAACCGGAGGGGGGAACATGGAGAGGGAGAGGGGAATGGGAAGGGTGGGTGGGGGCAGGATGTGAGCAGGATATGGCAGAGGGGTGCGAGGGGGGGAAGACGAACCACAGACGAGTGATGCTTACAGCAAAGATGAGGTGAAGAGGGTTGGATGGGGGAAGAGGGGGGTTCAAGGGGGCGAGTGGGTTTAGGGTTCAGGGATGGGGAGTGGGTAATAGGACGAGCATAAGGATAGTTGGAGGAGCTTAGGGTTTTAGGGTTTTGGGAGCTGGGGCCCTGCCCAGTTGGCCCACAGCCTACACCACGCAGCAGCAGCTTCCTAGTTACCCGCTTTCCTACCCAGAGCCCCGTGCACGACCCCAAGTGTACGCAAGTGCTGTCGCAGCCCTTGTCCTCGGTGCCTGCGACTTAGACTGATGCCGCTTTGACCCTCGTCCCGGTCCCGGTCCTCAGGACCCGGTGGTGCGCATGTCGCCCGAGGGCGGCTCACCCGCCCCTGATGCGCCGCGGCTGTGCAACTCCCCCACAAGTCACAACCGTGAGCCTCCCCCCCCCTCGCACACAACCTGCCAAATGTACACAACACCGCACAGCCGCCACTCCTTATTGCGCCATCCACCAAATCGCACCGACTCACTGCCGCCTCCCGCCACCCCGCTGAGCCCTACAGCCCCCTTTTTATCTGCGACTTCCCGACTTACTGACGCCTTTGAAGTACTCGTGTTCTTGTCCAGCTGCAGTGAACTTGCAGTTGGCCGTGAACATGAAATAGTCCATGAAGGAAACCTACAGGTCATGTGGGTGGCTTGGGTTGGGCTGGGCTGGGCTGGGGTGGGGTGGGGTGGTGCAATGGTGGAATGGTAGAGGGGGGAGGGGGATTGAACTGTAGACAACATCGTGCACTGAGAACATGCTGCCGGTGCTGATGATAACCTGGACGCCTCGTGTTTTATCACGCTGCGGGTGCCTTTCCTCCTCCGTGGGGGCACATCTAATCTCATTTGTCAGGGGACACCACCCAGCTACACATTATGCTGGTAGTTGGACTTGTTCAACTACTACTATACTACTATTTCTACTACTACTACTATTACTATTACTACAACCACCACCACTACTCGCTGCCTACTCACTCCGCCCTCGGCAGCTATTAACAGAGATACACGCGCTTTCCGCTCCCCGGTCGGGGCCCAAGCGCCTCAGCGCCGCGCGAAACCCTGTCCCCGGGCCAGGTAACGGGGCCAAGCTCTTCCGCGCGCCGCAGCTACCCAGCCCACACACATGCAGAACCCCCAAACCCCCCAATCCCCGGGACCAGGCCCGCGTGTCACGGTACGGTACGGCATCGTACATTACACGGCACTTACGTAAAATACCATAAACATCAGTTCGTACACCACGTTCAGCGCGATCGCCATCTGGCGCAGCCACTTGGACTGTTCCTGCTTCCTCATCGCGAGTGTGAGCCAGATGAGGCCCGCCACGGCCAGGAACACGGCGCCCGCCATGACGTACATGACCCGAATGTACACGTCATAGCCGTACATGCGCATGATGGGCGAGCGCCACACTACCCAGCGCACCACTTGCCACACCGGGTTGCCCGTCTCTATGCTCCAGTCGGCCGAGGGATTAAACACCACAATGAAGGGCATCTGGGGTGTTGGGTGCGGTGGGGTGGGGAGGGGAGGGTGTAGGAAAGGAGGGCGACCGGGTGGGACGTGACTAACGTAAAAAATGGATAGCGCGGGGCCCCCATGGCGGACAGGGCGGGCCCCGTAGCGGAGTTTGGGAGGAGGACGGGGGGGGGATAAGAGATGGGATAATAAGCAGAGGAGAATGAGCGCGCAAGCCGACAGCGGGAAAGGGAAGTTCCATGAAAGGGTGTGCTGCAGCGGCGACTTGCCGGCGGATGGTTGGTGGCGGTGTACATGGCGGTGCATACTGACGAATGCAGGCGGCCACGCAGAACCCTCTGGAATTGATGAAGCGCGCATTACACGAGCACAGCACACCGGCAGCTAATCTGCAACACGGACAACTTGCCAAGCTGGGAGCGGCTGTCCAGGTGGGGCGCCCTCTCACCCCGCCAGCTGTCCACCCGACGATCCAACTTTGCTCTCTAGTTGTCAAACCCCCCCGTGCTTTCCCCTCCCTGGATCTCACCAGACCCTCCAGTATTATTTTAAGTACTGCGAACTTCCAGTTGCTGAGGACGGACTGCCGTACAAGAGTGTACATGCAGGCGAACACGCCCTCCTGGAAGGAGCGCCTTTGCTCCAAAAGGTCGCCTGCGTTGCAGAATCAGCAACAGTAGCAACAGATGTAAGGGGGATGGGAAATGGAGTAATGCCGGTGGCGTACGTAAGCTGGGTTTTAGGGTTGTAATGTGTTTCATCTTTGCTAGGTATCCAGGTTGTGAATGGGAATGGGCATGAGAATGGGAGCGCGTGAAAGCTCTGGGCGGGGCGCCTTGTGAGTGACTTCCGACAGTTGGAGTTTGGCAGCGATGTAATTGTAATGTAATTGTAATTGTAATGTTACAGAGTGGGAGGCTTCTGGGCCGCTTTATCACATTGTCAGTTCTAGATCATTTATCACCTTATAGCACCATCCACCACTACCACACTGTACTTCGCCATACGAACTGTAAGTCCAAGGCGGCGGATCCAGCCTTCAGGGACCCCTCCTCATCCATTCACCCGAACACCCGAAGAGACGGAGGGTTCGGCAATCGCCACCAATCCAGCGTGCGAATCTGGTCCATCAACTGTGACCTCAACTCCACATCTCAGCAGCTAGCCATAATCTCGCGCTCCCGACTAATTCGGGGGTCTCCCCAGGAATCGAACCCAGGACCTTAAACCGCTAATTGCAGTAGTGTCAACCCAGACCAGACCAGGCAGCGATGTGACATTTCGTGGGAAAAAAAGGATTTCCGTGACGGAGGAGAGCAGCAGGCGGGCAAGAGCCCATTCACTGGCCCCGTTTCGATATGAATAAGGTATATGGCGTTCCCCGCGGCGATACGGATGAACGTTAAAAAAAAGACACGTGTGCAGCTAACCAGGTTAACCGGGTTAGCCAGGTCACGGTGGGTCACGGCTGAGTGCTAATGGGGGCGTTGTACGGCCTCCACACCGCGGGAACTGACACGCAGACTACCGTGCTACATCCCCGCGCGCGGATGAGGGCCTGCACACTGATGAAGACCAAGTTGGTGAGCCATACCTTCCTCATTCTCCTCCTCGGACCTGAGATCAGGACATCAACAAGCAATTTGGGTTGGGACGGGTTGGGTTGGTTGTAAAGTCATGGGGACTTGGCCATTACAGTGTCGGGTTTGCGCCAAGTTGGCGGTAGCACTTGCAAACGCCGTGCAAATACGAGGGCGTGCAAAGGCCATGCAAGTACGGAGAGTGGCGGACAGCCCCGATGGTAACCTTCTCACTTAGTCGCATACTAAGAGACTCCATCAATAGCATTGTTACATAGTCGCGCGTTGGTGCACTGTTTGGGGGTTATTCGCATCAGTGAATTGTAACCGCCGAGCTGTTCGTGTCAACTTTGCCTAAAGCTTACAGCACGAGAAGTTCCATCCTAGTTTCAATACATGCAATAACTTCGCTTTGGTTCAGCGACTCAAAGCCTTGTAGGGCCTATGGCCCGCGAGTTCGTAGCTGTGATATACGCGCCCCAGATGCGACAACCCACAGCTTTCGACACACGAGTTTACGATTGAGCACGACAAGCTCAAAGCACGCAGGTAGTTTGCATCCTGCCGCGGAGCAGTACCGGAAGAGGTTCATGTAACTGAGCGCAATCCTTACAAAGCAAACTGTTGTACACCAGATTCACTAAGAATGAATAAGATGGATGTATAAGATAGCCTCCAAAGCCACTCGGACAGGGCGTGCTGAGGTAGTTCAGCTCCAAGAGCTGACCTAGCCACTCAAGTAAAAAACTCACCGCTTATGCTTCCGCAACATTTGCGCATCAGATTTTTGCGAGCTTGTTTCGCTCACATCGGCTGATGTCCCGCTCCTTATACTCCCGCTCCCAATGCTGCTCATTTTGCCGTCGGGTCTTAGGCAAGGCAGTCAGCTTACAAAGAAACAACCACAGCTAAATATGTCAAATACCAAGCCAAGAACGCCTGCCAGTCATAGCTTTGGGAAACGAAGGATTGTGGGCGCAGACGGAAGAGGGGGTGAACGGCATGAACTTGAGCAAACATTTGAACGTAGTTCGACTATCACAATGAAAAAACAAAAAACTTCCTAGGACCGTCCTTTGTATGTGACATCCTATGAGCGTTGCTTAAACGTCATCGCGTGATCCGTACTCACTACTAACTTATTGTGGGGAAGGCCATTGCGTCTGCGACCACACTCCCGCGGTACCCAAACCCTTCAAAGACAATTCCGATCAGCCATTTGGCTGTTAGTGGGAGGGCGGGTGGGCCGCTCGCACGGCAATCGAGTAGAGAGTACGAAAATAACCTAATGCAGTCATCGACAGCAGAAAACGTAAGCCTCCAGCCTCATGCCGACTCTCTTACCTACCATTCATATTCTCTACCTCGTTCCCAAGACTCCGCCGCGTTGCCTCTAGTTCGGCTCGTGCCACANGTAACTTCGCTCGTCGCTACTTTGCCATTCACCTTCGCC